GCACGTCACCGCCCGAAAAAACCAATAACCATTCGGCGATAGAGATTTTATTAAACCGAGAAAAGGGACACCATTTGCCGATTAATATATAGTAATGAAGTCATTAGTTAGAAATGCGAAACGAGTAGCACAGGGAAACTATAGAAAAATACAATCACACACGCGTTTTAAGAGGGGGTGGACATATTTGGGCGGTGGCGGCTTCAGCGGAGCGATGGGCGCTGCACGGTGCGTGTCGCCGCGTCGGGGGCATAGTGGAGGACCCACGCGTGCTGCTTCACCTGGAAATAGAGGGTTAACAAACGCTGCTGTGTAAGAGTTCCGGATTCTTCACGGCAGGGGTAAATTTGAATTTAAAAAATGGGAAAAACAATTTTTTTGACGTATACTTGAATTTTTCGAAATATTTCAACGTTTTCGGATAGTTTTTCCACTTGAAACATAGTTAAATTTTACTAAAAAGTCGAAATTGTGGGCATTTTGGTCAAAAAATCAATTTTTCATTAAAATTTGTCAAGTTTTTATGCTTAGGAATAGTTAAAAACAATGTAGAAACGCTTCCGCTATTTGTAAAAAATGCCGGCATCTCCCCAAATCTTAAAAACTGGCCAGTTCCAGCCGATAGCGATCCTCGGGCCGTTCGCGGATGAGGAGGCTGATCAGCAACCTGGCCATCGGTGTGTGGCTGTCGGTGAACTAAAAAAAAAGGTATAAATAAAAAAAGGCGAGGCGTTACCGGAATGTGGACGACGCCAGTCAGCCACTCGCTACCTTGCGCCGGATAGAAGGGCTGCTGGCCGGCCAGCGCTTCGTAGGCTAACACGCCGAGGGCCCACGTGTCCACCTGGAAACAACAAAATAACGGTGCTTCTCGATTAGCAGGGGGTATAAAAAAACCGGCCGACAAAATGTAAGACTTTTTTGGCATTTTATATTATTTTTGTAAAAAAACTGACATATGACGATCAAAAATCCCGCTGTTTTAAAAAATTTCCCAGCAGTCAAAAAAGGTACTGGTCTGCTAGCGGTGGGGTATATTTACGTACAAAATACATAAAAATGCATATTGGTTATTACTAGGAAACTGACTCCCCGCTAACAGTCTAGTACCTCAAAAACTGCGCAAAAAAGTTGGGAAACGTACCGTTTTGTCGTAGCGACGGCGGAGCAGCTGTTCCGGGGCCTGGTAGTCGAGCGTTCCACAGTAGGTCATCCGCGACTCGCCCGTCTCGACGCGTGCCGACCAGCTAGAAAAGGGAAAATTTAGAAGTGGAATAGAAAGGTCATACCCAAAATCGGTGAGGAGCGCGTTGTCCTGGGTGTCGAGGAGCACGTTCTCCGGCTTCAGGTCGCGATGAATGACGCCCGACCGATGGCAATAGTCGAGGGCTTCGGCCAGTTGGCAGACAATCCTGCAAAATACACATAAAAACGCCGAACAAAAAGAATCGGTACCTGGCCGCCAACGGGTCGCCAAGGCCGCCGTGCTGATGGATGCGGCCGAACAGGTCGCCCTGCAACAGATTTTATAATTCATTTCGATGAACTTTAAAACAAATATACAAAACATCAAAAATTATTGCCCTCACATTCTCGGCAATGTCCATGATGATGATGAGCATGTCCTTTTCGTAAAAGTAGCCGTGCAGCTTGACCACGTTCGGATGCCTAAAACATGGAATTGCCGACGCTCGAAAAGCTGCCAGAAACAGCAAAAACAACATCTGAAAACACCGACTTGAGCTGGCCCTGGATCGCGATTTCCTCGTTGACGAGATGGACGGCGTTGTGCTGCACGAGGAAGCGGAGCGACAGGTACTTCAGCGCCACCTGCCGGCCGCCCCGCTGCGCCAACGCCTTCGCCACGATGCCAAACTGAAAAGAAAACATGTTCTAGCCGCATTCAATGAATAAACTGACCCCTCCACGGCCGAGCTTCTTGACCACCTTGAAGTCGCGGGCTGACCAGGCCGGTGTCCCGTCCTTCAGGGATCCGCCCTCATCGTCTGCCTTGGTGGCGTTGCTGGTGGTCGGCTTCTGGTTGGCTTCAGCCTTGTGAGACTTCGGCTGAATCTAAAAAATAGTTTTTTGGAGTATTTCCGGGGGATCCAAACTGTTTTCTTGAAGTTTCTTATACAAATAATCAGGGAGCGTTTCGTACTCAGCTGTTTTTCAATTGTAAAACTAAACGTAAAACCAACAAAACAACCCGCAAAAATTGAAAAATATCAATTTCTCGACCAAAATTTCAAAAGTCGCGACAGAAGCCTAAATAGCTTTTTAAAATTAACTAAATTTTGCAAAAAAAGACCACTCCTATAAAAATTCTACTCGACAATATAATTCTGTACATATAGGTAAAGATTTAGTGCAAAAAAGGGAAAAATAAGTAAAAACCAAATCTAGCTGTAAGCAGCTATTAACCGGCAACTTCTCCGGCACCTTGTCCTCCTTCTTCGCAACCGGCTGTTCAGCAGGCTTGACCACTGGCTTCTCCGCTCCGATCGACTGGACGACGTTCTTGCTCGATTTTGCTTGAGCATCGTGGGAAATGTTGATGGGTTCGGGCTTCTCTTCGGCACGCTTCGACAGTTTGGGGCGCGGCGCAAAGGGGGTGACATTCTTGCGCGGGTCAGCCGGAGATCCCTCGAATGCGACACGACGCTCCTAAAAATGAGGATTAGAGATTCGCTTCCGAGAAGTCTCACCGGCGACAAGGGGGTCGGCCGCCCTCGGTTGACGTTGGGCAGCGGCTTCGCGAGAGTCGAGAGGAGAGGAGGCTAAAAATAAATTAAAAACAACGATAAAGCGTTTTCTTCACGTTTATCGGGTGGCGGTTATTTTAGAGGGGGAGGGGCGGCAGGAGTTAAATAAAATTTTGTACGCCGTTTTGTAGGGATGTTAGACAGTTTTGTGCCCGTTTTGTAACTATAAAATCGTCGTAAACACGCTCAAAATTTTTGGTGCTTTTTGAATCAAGTTACGCTCAGCTATGGCCGGTTGGAAGGTTCAAAACCGAGATTTTTGTTCGAAAATGTATGAAAAACGGCCAACAAACGAAAAACTTCGAATTTTCGAAAACTTTTTGAAGTCGTAGTTATTGAAACTAAAAACTGAAACTGTAAAACTAAATTGAAAGCTAAAATGGAGTTTATTCCTCGGCCGGAATCATCAAAAATAAGAATAACATGCCCGCAAAATAACTGCCACCCGACGAACGAGATGCACAAAAAAGCTTACCAGATGTACCAGACGAGGGCCCAGCGTTTTGCGAGCAGCACCGCCATCGTGCTCTGTCGAGGTGGTGGCCGTTGGTACGGCATCTGCCATCGGAGCGGCGCTGGCCGACGAGATGGACATCCGGGTCACCGAAGCCCGTCGCAGCGGGTTGACGACGACGGGGCGCTAAAACCATAACGCAATGAATTAAAAGCAGCTTCTTCCGTACCTTGACAATGGGAGGCGGCTTGTCCCGGCTGCTCGGACGGGCTGCAGCTGCTGCAGCAGCAACGGCCGGCGGCATCCTGGCCACGATCTTGTGCGGCGGTGTGGGGGCAGATTCCTGGGGCATCGGGCATGGCTGATGGAGGCGAGGCGGCGTCTGAAAAAAGGAGGGGTTGTCAAGTAAAAAAGTAAAGACTATTATCCAGCACTCACTGACTGACAGAAAATTTCGCCGTTTCATAGTGTATTTTCTAGCGTTGTTATTAGTTTTCGATTGCTACAAATTAAAAATTTGAAAGTTTTAAATTCAGGGCGACTATACTAGATCTCTGAAGAGAAACCAAATCTTGCCTCCATTCTAATAGTTTTTATGAACTTTCTATACTTCGAAAAAATACGTGAAAAGCTGCCTAAATAAAGGCTCACCGCTTTCGGCGTCTCGCACACGAAGGAGACCTTGGGACGAGGCGGTGTCTGGGTGGAACTCGTTGAAGCCGCCGTGAAGTCATTGCGCACTTGGCGGGGAATCGGCGTCAACGGGGGGCGTTCGGCTTGCGTCACCGGGGCTGAAATGAAACGTTTGAAGTGTTAGATGACGGGTTTTGCTCGGAAAAAAAGGAAAAAAGGTAAGAGTTTACTTACCTAGTTTACTTATTTACTAGACCATAAAAAAGTTTCAAAAGGCGGGTAAAAGTCCATATTTTGGTGTGCGCGAGAACGGTGGTTCGGTGCATAATTCCAATATCGAAAAGTGCTACACATACGGGGAAGACGGGCGACCCTGTCCTTCAGAATCGAGTTCGGCCCACGCCGCCCAAGCGCTGGCATTGCCGAAGCGGCACGCGTGCGAAGCGGACGCGGCATCCCCGCGACATCCGGCTTCTGGACAGTCGTGGTGAGGAAGAAGCCCGTAATCGAACCTTATCCATGATGGGGAGCCGGCGACTCTGATGGGTGCGATGTGAAAAACGCAACAAAACACTGTTTTACATATCTCCTTTCACATGCAAAAGTAGGGTCACTTCCGGAGCTCGGCTTCAAAGTCGGTATTCTTATTAGCATAAGGGGCGGGGAGACAAAGTGCCCGTGCAATATGAATCGTCTGGCTGGCCTAGTAACCAAATATCGCATGTTTCTATGCTATTCATAATAAGTTGAACTATATTTAAAGTGAGTAGTGGCAAGTTGCGTTTGAGTTAGTCACAACTACGAGAAAATGCAACCAAGAACTCCCAAGTAAGCTTTCGCACGCAAAACCACGGTCCCTTTCAAGGTTCTGATTCAAAACGGCATCAATTCAAGCCCAAATCGTTTTCAACACGCAAGAGACACAACGGCAGGACCAGCAGACTGCTCCGTTCCCACAACCAACTCGAAACCGTTCATCGATATTTGTGTAGCCAAAAGGCCGTATATTCATGAGACCAACAACATAACAGCAACAATTTATTTGGGTTCAAAAAACAACGAAAATTCATACGAATCCATGCAACCATTCAAACAATGGGCCTTAAAAATGTCAAAAACTATGTTCTTCTTCTTAGTAATAAAAGTTAGCAGCGGGCGTCGTCAGCATCGTCGCCAAAAGCGATCCGTCGACTGGCCACCAATTCCTCGTGCAATCGGTATTGTTCGACGAGTTGCCCCTCCGACACCTGAAAAAAAACATGTGTCAAAAATAAATTGGAATGGGCCCGGGATTTCAGCTGTATGTTATTGCAAACAGCGTTGTTAAGCGCCAGTTAATATAAAAGCTAAATGACATCAAGGCTTACTATTCCTTTACAGGAACCAGGTCTAATAAGGTCTTGTACAATGTCAAAGATACGAATCGACAGCGCTTGAAAAATATATTTTTCTAACGTCAAAATTTTTAAATTTCAAACATGTTGCCCCAAAAACTCTAAAATCGGCCCGGTGATACAGCCTGGTCGTAAGGTAAGTAGCTATCAAAATAACCCGCAATTTGAAGCAAAGATATGCTAAGCCACGCCTAGACTTAGGTTAAAAACAAAGCATCCTAAGCGCAACATCTCGCCGCTTTCTAGCGCATAATATATCGTTAATATACCTTCATGATCCAGTCTTTCGCTCCCACAATCAGTCCACGCATTCGAAGGCGTTTGCCGGGTTGTACGGCCTGACCATCCGGATAGAAGAGACCCTAAATAGGAAATTACACACAACCAAACAAAATCCTCACATGGAAGCGCGGATGCCCGTCGAGAAGTAATCTGAAAAAAGAATTACGTCAACGCCAGGGATTCCAAGCACTTACTGATCCATATCTGGACTGGCCAGGTTCCTGACGCACACAAACTCGAGGTCCGGCGAGGCACGGCTGTTGAAATAGTACAGTGGCTAAAACCAAAAAAAATATGGATAAAGGAGAGGCGAAGGTACCTCATTCGGGGCACCACTGGCCGGCGGCTCAAAGCGCAGACAGTCGAATCTGAGGTTACGATGGCGCTGGACATCACGCGGCAACGAGGTGTGCACCGTCAGACGCTGCAAAAACCAGATGGTTATGGTATGAAAGGGACGAGCAACGGTACTAGACCGTTAGCGGGGGGTTGTAGCTAGCCCTGATCCACCTGGCGCAAAATTATCAGCACCCCATATTGTAAGCCTAATGAGACTTTAACGCTACGTTTTTGATTATTGAGACCTTAAGTTCGCTACGCTTATCTCATTTCTAAGCCTAAGAAAATGCTATTTAAAAATAAAAAAGATAAAATCCAATAATAAAAACAGCAAACCAAACAAAACTGAAACGGCTCTCCAAAATACATACCTTACTCATAGCGTTGAAATTTATGATTGACGGCTCTGAAAAGACGAGCACCTCGTCGGCGCCATTACGACGGAAATCCACGCGGATTTGCAGTGAACATAGCTGCAGAGGGCATAACGACGCCATCTAAACACGAGCCTTGCGCCAACCAATATCAAAAATACCATCGTATTGTGGAAGCTACGGATGGACTCGAATGTCGGTCGCAGGATCCCGAACTCATCTGTCCTAAATCAAAGTTACGCAGGTTTAGTAGAAATGGTTTCTAGGTAATATTCGATTTCTTTGGATAGCAATTGAAATTCTGAACAAGGGCTACGTTTCAGAACAAAACGAACGATAAATTTCGTCGAAAAAAAAAATTTGTGATAGCTTAAATTTTGTTAAGCGGTGCCAAAAAAATGGTAAAATCTGCTCCTTGGCCATGAATTCTCTGGAAGATCGTTAGGTTCAGAATTTTTTTTTGATGAGAATGATCAAAACTTCAAACTCTATCGAAAGATCTATTTCACACAAAAAGACATTTTTGTGCCGGCTTACCAGATGATAAATTTCTCGTGCCTCAACGGGCTCTCGCCGTCGTCCTTCAGGTAGATGGCCCACTTCTCCAGGTCGTACATCCTGTGCCGTGAAAAGTCAGGAAAAAAGCGAAAACGTACCCAAAAACGCCGACAACATAGATGCTGAAACAGCGCTGAGGGTTGATTTGGAAGGAATGGTTGAGTGGTGAGGGTGCTGGGCAAACGTGCATCTAAAGCCATAAATCATCGAGGCAATGGTAGCTACCTCAATCCTTTCATCATTGGTCCGCCTCCAGTAGATCTTGCGCTTTGTGAAAAAGCCGTACTCGGTCGTCAGCAGCTGCACCGATTCGGGGCGATTGCGCTGGTAGATGACCAACTGAAAAGAAAATAGAATAGGGTGCATGGGTGCTTCAATGTTGGGGGGAGATTTTTGAGGACGCTGTAGGGGCACGCAAATAGCAATTGAACGATTTTATTTACATCACAAACACTTCGTAGTGTCAAAATCATCGAAAAATTTTGGGCTTTTTGGCAAAAATGTATGAAAAACAGCCAAAAAGGTCAACATTTTCATTTTCTAAAATTTTTGAGAACATTTTTATAACCTTCCAGCAATCAAAAACCACTAAAACCCTATAAAAATACATTATATATTATCAACAGTTTCAGTTGGACAAATAAAAAGTGTGTTTCCTCCGTGCTAACCCATACCGCTATTAACAGCCCAGAATCCATTAATATCTAAACACCGGGCTTAAGGTTTAGGCTTCACAAACTTCCTTTTAAACTTTCTGCACAAAATCTCGAAAACTTCAGTTTTTTCTTCAGTTTTTGTAAGCTGTAGTGACCCGAAACTACTATCAAACGGCGTTCTCTTTTCAACGGGTCCCTTTCTTATTTCTATGCAAGAATCGGCCAAATTAACAAAAAAACCCTTGCTCCCCCGCTAACCCGCATGCACCCAATGATGCAAAATGTACCTCTCGCTGCTTGCCTCCTTTATCCACCGATTTCACCCACACGCCCGTCTTCCAGTCGGTTGACGTGTATATGTGAAGCGAGCTGTCAACCTGCAGAAAATCATTTGGTTGCTAAAAAAATACGAACGAGACGAGGTTCGCCAACGGAGACATCGGCGGTGACCGGGGCGGAAGACGGCATGGTCGGGCCCTTTTGAAACCATACTCGGAGGTTGTTTTTGGTGCGTTCCTTCGAATTTTTGAACTAAACGACAATAATTGAAGAGTAGCGCATGAAAGTGGTTCACTTTTCTCAAAAAATTTTTGGGTTCCTTCACATTACCGGGGAGGCATCTTTCTCTTCCGCGACCTCATTTTTTTAAAGACAAATAGTGGAATTGTTTCCAAACGGTTTTTTACCACACCTAAACGAGAAAGATTTAAAAAGTCACTACAAATATCCAAATATCGATTTTACGACCAATGAAATAAACGGCTGAATTTTGACCAAATCTTTCCGACTTTTTTAAAGTTTCTAAATTTTCTAGTTCAATGTAGTTATACACTACTACAATGTATTACACTTACCAGACATTTCTAGACTTATACGAAAAAGTTCGGTACCCTTCCCCGATAATGTGAAAGAATCATAATTTTCCTTTGAAATGAGCCTGATTCGGCAATTCGATGTTATGAAAAGCCTATGACCCGATGAACAAGTAGGAAAATAAAACATAACGCCGAGAAAAGCAGCAAAAAATAATAAATGTAAAATAGCGCCTGCATACCGGAGTAAATTCATCATCGGTCTCTGGCTCATCACCGTCTTCCTGGCCCTCGAATTCACTGTCGCTCAACTCTGGAAGATCCAGATTCTTGTTGAAGACCGGGCTGGTGTCCTTCTTCTCCGGTTGCTGCCATTTCGGGACCTCCTTTGGCAGCCCGCAACCAGCCATCATCTCCTAGAAAGGTAAATGTAGGTATTTGAAAACGCGCGATTAGGAATGAGAATAGGTGAAACGAAACACTTACATATAGCGCCGACGGCCTCGAGACTGGTTTGGCGCCGCCAGCCAAATAATTTCGAAAAACCAGCGCATCGGGCTAAAAAAAAAGTCAGTGGTAAGAAAAGGACATACTGCGGGAGCAGATTGTTGAGGCTGTTCCGACGCGGCCGGGGTGACGGGCTGAGCTGGGGCCTTGATGAGGGGAGCGTGTTGAGGGGCGGGCTGTTTGTTGAGTGCTTGCCATGGGCGTTCGTTGCCTTGCTAAAATAAATAATGATCGAAAATAATTGTCTGATAATTCCTCGCCCAACATTAGAGCATTATATGATGTTCATAAGTGTGAAAACAACATCATAATAAAGTCAAAACGTGAAAAACCTCTGCCGTTTGCTAAAAAATGGAAAATTATCAAAAAGGTGAAACTTCAACTATGTCCTGTTTTTTCTAGTTTTTTAATTATCTGAGACTACCAAAACCCTATCAAAATCATATCTACCAATTGTTCCGGCAAGCCCAGAAGAACGGAATCCCCCTATCTAACCCCGAAATGTCCTTACCAAATTCTGAAACACGGCCGCGGCTGGGCTTGCGGGCTGCTGTTGGGTTAGCCATTTCGTAGCGAACGTTGTTCCGGCGTCTTTTGCTGGCGACGCCATATTCACCGGAACAATTGACGGGATAACAGGCGCCGGCGATGGGATGTCGGCGGGGAATCCGGAAATGAAGGCACTCCTTGGTTGAACGTCTTCTGCACCCAGCGGTCGCAAGGCGACGGGAATCCCGGCACTGCTCGCCGTCCCGCTCTCCGAGGGTGGCTTTTGAGCCGTGGATTGTAGAGACGGCGTCGAAGCGAGATCCAAGTTCCTGCAGAAGCTGGAGGCAAATCCACTGACCGCAGGCTTCTAAAATAAAATAGTTCTAATAAATTATAGGTACTAACCTGTGCAGGCGGGCCGTCATTGTCGTCATCGTCGTAATCGGGCTGCTGATTAAGAAAAATGTCTTGGTTGCCGACGATAGTGTTTGCCGCGGCGAATTGAGGAGCTGGGTTCGGCTCGGTTGGGGTCTAAAGACAATAAAAGCAGCTGAAACAAGCCACTTACCGATTCAGGATTCGAAATCTCCTTTGATCCGGCGCATGGTTGCTGGTTCACTTCTTCTTTGTAGTCTGTGGATGGGCATCGGTTGCCGTATCCTTGAGGTGCCATCTGTTGTAGGTGAACAAGCTAAAAGAAGATCATAGCCTTTTCCGAACAATAATTACCTGTGCGGTGGGGATGTGGCCAGCCCATTGAGCCTCGGTCGTAGTTTCTGCCGGACGACCGTCGACCGGTGCCATTCCTCGATAGTAAGCTTGCGGGTCTATGGAATCGCGTTCGATGGAGCTCTGGCTCTAAAAAATAACAAAATATTTCATTGCGCTATTCAACAAGAATAATAAAAAAGGTTCTGGTTGGTTCGCGTGGGGGGGGGGGCAGGATGTCCAAAGCGTCTCTTGCGCATCCTTTGATGCTATCGAATATCGCGCCAATGGAATGTTCCAAAACAACAGCTAAAATATCGAAAATTACAAAAAAACTGAAAAAAAGTTAACTAAACTCTTTGGAAGCCTTAAGCGACTCTTCCGAGTGGTTTGAATTACTACAAACACTACCTATTATTTGGGGCTCAATACGAAGGCGATTTTGAAATCACGAAAAACCAGAAACAAAATTAAAAAAACTGGCAACCAAGCTCCCCACGCTAGCGAACCAGAACCCGCAAAAAAATATAAACCCCTCACATCAGAGGTATGACCAGGCGTCAATAAATCGTAGCGCGGCGTGTTGGGCAAGAAAATCTCCTCATCGCCGAGGGGTTTTTCTCCGGCCAGCGATGGGGTCGAGCTGCCATCTTCAGTGTCGCGGCCTCCGATTGCATTGTGGCCGTAGCCGTCGATTGGGATGTGATATCCCTCGTCACTGCCATCCATATCCGCGTAGGGGTCATAGCCAAGGTCCACAATTTCGTTAGCATCGGCGGTAAACGCGACGACGGGCTCCTAAAATAGTATAATTAGCTTTATAATGACAAATTCGGGACCATGACAGCTGCGCAACGACTTTTGAGTAAAAATGATTTCTTAATAAAAGCGGGAAAACCGTGTGCTTCAACGTCGTTTTTGCCCGAGTTGCTCAATTGCCGTTGCTCATTTGTCATGGTCCCACCAATTCTGCTTCAGTATATTGGCTTAGAAACGGTCGCACCGTTCGTACGGCAAAATCCAGTAAGTAAACTGTTTTCTAATGATAATCATTACATTAAACTAGGTAAAAACATAGCTAAAGTATCAGAGCCCACATTATAGACAACATTAGAAATCTAGGAGCTAAACGCCTATATTTATGTAAACTATTAGCACGCGCGAACAGTACGACCTTTCCAACTGCCACCATTACTGATACCTCGGCTGGTAGTGCAGGATAAGAGCGTGATTTGGCAGGCGGAGTCGCCACCAGGCGTTCCTCCGACTCGGCCCTCGAGCGCAGTTGCGATAACTCGATGAGGTGAGCGATATCGGAATCGCAGCTGGCCTAAAAAGGTGGTAAACCTAATGCAGGATGTCTCCAAAAAAGCTTCTCTATCTCAACCGTGAAGGATCCGATCGGGATGTTAGTTATACCATTTGAAAGCCCTTGAGACGGTGCGTTTGCAACTAGCTGCAAAAACGTATTTCCAGACGCGCTATTTCATAGAGATGTTTGTAAAATTGAATGCGTTTTCTGGATTGTTTACTAGCCAATCCCCCCCCGAGGTGCCCCAGCAAAAGGCGCCCAAGCTAGAATCAGAGTTTTATAAAATCTTCCGTTTAAAAAAAAACACGACTACGAAGGTGTACGCATCCACGGTACCGCGGTCTCCTGGGCTTTCGAACAGTATAACTATCATTTTGACCCGACCCTCCTCCATCGAGATAAAAGAGGACAAGTAAAGACAGCAACCTTATCGTCTTGGTCCATTGAAAAGTCTTCACCCAGATCGACCGACATCGGTAGCTGGGTTTGATCGGCCGCCAAAAATTCGTTCCGGTTATCCTCACCAGCTGGGTTAGCTTCCTAAAATTAGAAAATGGCACTTCAGAATAAAAAAAACTCACGAAGCCTGGAGCAGAAATGTCGGTCGTCGGCCCATCGTACCCGACCTCAGCATTGGTCGGCGGCTAGAACAATGTTAAAGTGATAATTGCATAGCACAAAACCTCATCAGCAGCATCTAGACGAAAGTCGTCCCAGACATCATCGTCCGTCATTTTCAAATTCGGCGCGCGTAGCAACCTGTAAATCAAAGTCAGAATTTTTCGGTCAGATACATTAAGGCACAGTTGAAATCATTGAGAACCATAGTTGAGGCCGGAGACTATTGTTGGGCAAGTATCGAGCAAGTATTGAATGTGTCAGCGGACTCCAAGTTTTTTCGTCATACTAGATTAAAAGATTGCTATAACTAAGATCAACAAAAGGGAAGGCGCAATGGGCGTGAACTACTCGGTTAATAAAGCGCTAGCGGGCCCGCCAACTTCAACAATGCGCCAGCCGCGCGCGCCAATACGGAGAGTGCGAGCGCTATTGGCGCTTACTCGGAAGGAAAGCGCCACTAGCCCAGACGCGCGAAATGGTACAAAAAAGCGCGAAGTGACGCAATTGCGGAGAAAAGGAGGCTAATTATTGCAATCCCCAAGGACCCAGGTACAAAGTTTTTTATAGCTTCGTAAGTTTTATTTTATATGACCATTGCAGGTTTTGACCATCTATGTTACAAAGCTACATTTTCAGGCGACAATGAATTTGGGAACTGCGCGCGCCCACATGATTAAGTAAAAGTAAAAGAGTAAAAAGTCTCCCTGAAGAAGAAACATTTAGGCTAACTTGTATGAGTTTCTAAACGTTTAGAACACGGCGACTAGATGAGTAAAAGGTACGTTAGCTAGCTTTTAGGCCAAATACGTGCGCTGACGCTATGGAAGCAAAAAATAGGTTTTTACAAAGAGTATGCTTCTAAATAAGCGATTTAGGTGCGCAGACAGACAACTTTTGGGCTTACACCTCGGATGCACCCTTTCTAGTGTGCTACATCGCAAACACAACATCCTAATAGACCCCTATAAATAATAAAAAGAACAGCTGAAAGAAATAGACGCATTATCAGCGCAATCCGAGAAAACGGCGCGTCAACGAGCGCTTTTGCCAAAAGCGCCAATAGCGCGCCTGCGCGTCTGCAAATAGCACCGAGGTTGGCGCACGGGTTGCCTCAACAAAATGACAAAAAATAAAGTCGACTAAAAATACGAATCGTGCGCGAGCGAGTTCGAGGCACAAGATGCAGGAAAAATCCGTAATCTGGCGCCCCGCGGAATCCGATGGTCTTTTGGTTGTGTCACGTACTATCGCCAAATTTCTGATGAAAATAGACGATTTTCGAGAAAAAGAATGATGAATGAATTATGTAAGAAAGATGCACTCGATAATAAAAAACCCCCAAGTTTCTCGACGGAAATTATTTCCCTAATTTAGCGGCTAAGAAATGCGCCATCCCCTTAGACCACCTTTTTGCCGAGAAAAACCGTAGTAATAGGGTAAGGTGAAAAATCCCATCCCAATAATGAAACCCCAATACCAAAGGAGAAAACCAGAGCTATTTCCACCATTTGGCAGCGTCATTTCGCAAAAATCGTAAGGTCTCGCTCAAGTCTCCACTTCGAATACCAAGGTGTCATTAGATCCGCTTCCCGATTCATGAAAGCTCTCAAAAACCAAGTTCCGCTCGATGTTTTGCGAGATTGCTATCGCCAGTGTTTGGTGATAAAATGTTTATTCAAGCAGTCAATCCAAGGGCACGGGGAAATGGAATATCACAAATGACGAACCTTTACTCGTATTCAGAACATAGTTTAATGAAATGGCTAGGGGAAGTAAGGCAATTCTAATGTATGACAGGGACAGGATGTTGCGTATTAGGTGGTGATGGTCGTGGCGTAGCAGGTGTAGATGGGGCTTACGAAGGTGGCACGTTTTCCTTGTTGTTGCACGAGCTAAAAAGAAAAATTATGTACGAAAACAAAGGAGAAGTCGAATATGATAAAAAGCTCACCGAGGGACTCGCACGATGGGGAGCGCGTTGTCGAGCAGCACCTTGTTCGCCCTGTCTAAGGCGGCAGTCGTTGCGGCAAACTTTCTCTTCAGCACACCGAGCTCGTCGTTCATCTTTTGCATCATCGAGATCTTCTGGTTCGGGTTGGAATGCCCGACTTGTTCCACGACCTAAATGCAAGAATAAATGTAGAAACATCGCGTAAAAATCTCGTTGAAAGTATGAAATTTTACCTTCTTTCGCCATTCCTCACATTCCTTCACGGCCGCACGATGCCCGTGTTCCGAGACATCGAGCAGCGCCTTGAGCTCATCGGCACGAGATTTCTCTGCCAGCGCTTCGCCTTCCTTCTCCCGGTACTGCTGCTCGTACTGGTCGCGCTCTTCGGCAATCTCGTCTAGCTTCGCCTTCAGGTCATCTTGAGCCCTCGACTGGGCGTTTTTGTTGTCGACGAGCTGTTTCTTCACTTCGGTGAGCTGCGTCTCGAGACTAAATGAGGTCATTTTTTAAAACAAAAAGTACGTACTTCTCGACCCGATCTCGAAAGATGTTGGCTTCGTTCTGGAAGTCGATGGTCTGCCTCTTTCCGGCGGCATCCTTCTCATCGATTTGTCGCTTCAAGTTCAGTTCTAGGCCTTGGATTGTCTTGCGATGAAGTTCTTCCATCTTGTCGAGACGCGCCCGCTCCTTCTTCAACTCCGCTTCGTGCGACTTGATCAATTCCTCGAGCTTCATCCTAAGCACTGATATGAAACACGCTATAAAGAACTTACTTGTGGTGCTTGCGCTCCTCGTCAAGAGACTTCTGGGCGTTTTCGTTGGCTTTGTGAAGGGACGCTTCAAGGCGTTCCTTGGCCACGCGCAGCTCCTCACGCTCCTCTTCCTGAAAAACAGACCATAAAACATTTCACCGCCGCAAAACATCCCTTAAAACTTGGAGCTAAACTGACCATTTCTTCGATCCTTTGCATGGCCGCCTTGTTCTGATCACGAAGATGATCCAAGTCGCGGCCCGCAGTGAGGCGATATGTGGCCCACTCGGTTTTCAAGCGATCCGCGTTTGCCTTGGCTTCATTGGCTTCCTCCGCGGCCCGGCTCATGTTCTTCTGCAGGGCTTCGAGTTCTGCGCGGTGTTGTTCTTCGCCAGCGGCACACTTTTGCTGAAGCTCCGTGATGGTCGAAGAGCGTTGGCAGAGTTCCTAAACATCAGCATAAAAATGGATCGTTGAAAATACCGTCTCAAGTTCATCAAGTTTCTGCTGCAGTTGGTTGTTCAACATTTCGGCGTCGTCCTTATCGTTGTCAGCTTCCATCCGAGCGGCATTCTAAAACCGGATCTTGAAAGCAATAATTTGAACGAAATAAAAGCCGTCAGCCTGAATATAAAGCTACGAACCTCCGCATATCGCATGTGCTCCGGGTACTCATCGTTGTCGAATGAGAGAAGTCTGTTGCCCTGTGCTCGATCAACGACGTCCGCTGGAGCAAACATTGTCCTGCGGCGGAGCTTTGCTTGCGGAGTGTCGGCTTGTCTGCGAACAGGCGAAGCGAAGATGGCCTAAAAGCGGTATAAAAAGACTAGTTTGGTATACCATTTTGTCTTGCTGCAATCGGCACTTCTCGTCCGTCGCTGCCAGCCTTCTTTCAAGGGCGCCGTGCGATTCCTTGAGAACCCTGTAGTCTTCAGACATCTGGGCGTACCGTTGCTCCATTTCTAAATGGACAAAATGTCTGAGCTTTAGAAACAATTGAATACCGTTGGTGATAGTGGTCCGCTGGTTGATAAGCTCCTGGTTCAGACGGTTGACCTTGTTGTTGAGAGCCAGCACAGACTCGCCAGTGACCTTGACGTTTGCGTTAAGCTTGCTCTTGATGTTGCGGCAACAGCTCGCGAAGTTCAGCGTAGAGACCGTATTGGCAATATGGCTAAGATAGATTTTCTAGAATATGAGACCAACATACTCTTTCTCATTTCGAGCGGTGACTAGGATGGCGGTCCTCGCACTTCCGGCCAGGCTATCCTTGAGGAACAGTGTCAGCTGCGAATCGCGGTAGTTGACAAACGACGCGCCCTTTGATAGTTGCCGGATGACATTGGAGAGTACCGATAAGCTCTAAACAAATAAAGTAGACATCAAACGCAAGGGCAGCGTACCTGGTTAATTGCGACACCCTCCTTGAACTGTTCGCTGCCGTATTGAGTGCCGGTGTGGGCGACTCTCTCACTTCCAGCCAGATCGACGAGATTCAGCCGTGCCGAGCTGCGCAGCACGAGCTCATCGTTCAGATTTTCGGTTGTCAGGTCGAGGACGAAGACACAGTGCGAGCGACTCGAGGTGCGATTCATCGCCGTCTCGGCGGTTTGCCTGGAGCTCCAGCCGTTTTGCAACAACTGAAAAATGGAGATGAGCAAGGAACCATCCAAACCAAACGACCGAGCTGAAAAACCCCAAATCAGTATTGCACCGTGCCTCAGCTTCGCCTTTTTGTAATCATTTCTTTGCTCCACTTTTTGGATGCCGAATGTTGGCCAAAGCCTTTGAATGTCACGCTGGCAGTTTTCGTGACTTCCCAAAATTTGGCCAGAAAATGTTTGGCAGGCCTGGGTAATAAAGATCCCCTCGCTTAGGAATCCTAAACCGAACAGGTTGGCCAAAAATTAAATGAGTTCATAATAGGCTTTTCATCACTGGCAACGGCACAGACTGGGGGCGGAAGGCACTTCAAATAAACGCACCTTCAGAGCATCTGCAGCACAAATCACTGTGTGCCGGCTGGCGGCGATGACGCCACCACGCGGCTTGACCAACTCGTTCCCATTCAGCAAATCGTACCACACCTCCTGGTAGAGTTGCAGATACTGAACTTCGATCAAGGAGTTGAAGGCGCCACTTCCCAACTAAACACCATAAGAATGCAAAGGGAATGTTGATACCTCTTTTGTTTTCAACTGCACGAAAGAGAAGAGCTGCTTGATCGCCTGCGGGATGATGCCGCAATCCTCCTCAGCTATTTCGGCAAGGTTGGCGATTTCGGAAGGCCCGACCATTGTATGAGTTTTACCTAAGCGGAAGATATCAGATCAAAGAACTAAAAACTGACCGCTCCCGGTTTGCCCGTACGCGAAAACCGTGCCGTTGTAGCCGATAGTGACCCCGTCAACCACGCGGCGCGCCAGCATCTCGTAGATTTCCTTCTAGAAAGAAGTAAGTAAATTTAATTCCAAAATTCGAGGATACCTGCGAAGTGTTTCGCATCCCGATTGGGCCATCGAACGTGTACGTGCCCGCCGGTTCGATGGTTTCAACCTGGCGGTTTTTGACACGGATCCCGGGCGTCGCGGAGCCATCGGGTGCCAACATGCGGCAGATCACGCGAATGGACTCCTGCGCCATTCTGGAAATGGGAGTGATTAGGCGAGAACCTAGAGATTGGAACTAGCAAAAGAAGTGAAATGCTAAGGAAATGAGAATCTTCGAGCGCAAATCTACAGTGGGAAAGGGCAAACGGCCGGATAGTCGATCTGGAGCAACTGGCGCGTGAGGACAACTACAGGTAAACAAATCGCAACAGTTAACGAACACGGAAGCGCGAAAAAGCCTACTATTTAGGGTGATATAGCGTGTCAATGCACCAATCAGTCGACTGAATAAAAATCGAAAAGGCAAGGGCATGAAGACCAGGAGGTGTTAGGTAGATCAATCGCCCGAAAGGGCTAGAACATCGAAACCGGGTAGACGCACCATGAGAAAGGAGAAACGGCACCCTACGCTATCTAGTAATCAATCCCGAGTCGCTTTTTGGGATAAAAACCTCAACCAAAAGCTACGTGCGAAAGAAAAATGACAAAGCACTGACAATGAAAAATGGACCGAAAAAAGCCGAAAAGCCAAAAAATTAAATGAACTCAATCGGAAAAATCGAGGGCTCGGTGCTAGGGTCGCGAGTTGTTACGGTAAAAAGCGCGCATTTTAGTTTTCCCCAGCTGAAGTTGGGGCCATTTTAAACCCTTCTGGCTCGCTCGCGCACTACCATCGTGCATTGAAGCGCTTCGTAGCTTGGCAGATGGCAAAGGAGTATGGCAACTAAATAAAATGGGCTTGTAGCTTGGTAAGGGAAACATCAATAAAGCAAGCTTTTCTCTTCACAAGCAACTGTTCCGGACCAGGCTTCTTCATGGGCACGCAAAATGGTGGCATTTGAGAAAGACAACATGTAAGATAAAACGGCAAACAATTGAAATGGCTCGAAAACTCTTTCGTCTAATGGCTTTTCTTTTTCTGATGGTACTGCACTGTTAGCGAAGGGGGGAGAGCGGGAAACCTTTCAAAATATTCTAAAAAAATTTCGAAATTTTTGAATTTTGGTCCAAAATGTATGACAAATGGCCAAAACGCGTGAAAGTTTACCTTTTTAGCTAGTTTTTATAAGGTTCTAGTCCTCCAAAACGGTGCTTGTGCTCCTCCGGAGGGGGGGGGCTGATTTTGTATACAAATCTCGAAACGCCGTTTTTAAAGCCTAATTGCTGGAAAAGCTAGGCTAAGCCGGAGCTTAGGCTTAGCTTTATACAGACCAAGTCCGTGTTTGGGGCCCGGGAATAAAAGATTGAATGCTTTATCCGTAAACAATTGTCATTTATGGGTGAAGGAGGGTAGAAGGAGCGTCTTGGAGAGCTGTAGCAGTACAACAACATTATCCAAGCGCTATGGATTGCGGGTCGACGAGTCGGCTGTTATAATTGATCGAATCATCTGGGACGTTGCCGTTCAGTGGGAGCAGCCAGTAAATGCCGTCCACAACACGCTGAAAGTCGGGTTTTTTTTTGCAAAATCGGTGCATCTTTTTATTGGTTCTTTGGCAATAGCGGGGGCAAACTTTGGTTCTTTAGGATTCCGGGGGGAAAGTATTCCCGGGGGGAACCAATTTTTTTCCTGGTGGTCCCGGTTGACCTAGTAATCAAATATAAAGTGTTTTCGAATTGTTTTTCGTAAGTTTTAACTATATTTAAAGCAGAATAACTTTCAGAAAAATTTAGAAAAATGTTTAAAAAAGTCGAAAATTTGGTCATTTTGGGTCTTTCCCCCCCCCGAATCCTAAAGGTTCTATAGGATTTTTCGACCTAATTTTTATTTTTTTAATTTTTTTTTGGTTAAAATGTGTGTGGTTTTTATACTCAGGAATAGTTAAAACAATTTAGAAACGCATCCGCAATTTATAAAAAAATCTAGGCTTGTGCCGAAAAAAATTTGGTTTCCCCCGGGAATCCTAAAGAACCCAAACTTTTTCTTAGAACCGAAATTTTGCTAATGCTAGTGCTTTCAAAGTGTTTTAACTATTCCTAAATACAAAAACTCTACAAATTTGCATTAAGAAACACCAAAATATCGATTTTTAAGTTTTTTTATGATTGTTGTTCCAGTTGAAATATAGTTATATTTTACTAAAAAATGTATCTAAAACCCGTACTGCTACGTTATTAGGCCAACCTACTTTTTTTCTTAGGAGCACATTTTTCAACGATGAATAGCGGAGGTGTTTCTATATACGGTTTTTTGCTACTCCTAAACGTACAAACTAAACAAAATGTTAAAATAGTCGATTTTTTTAAAAACCTTCAGATAGTTTTTCTAGCTGAAATATCATTATTTTTACTAAAAACACTATTAAAACACTGGATATTTAGCTACTATACGTTTCTAAGCTTATACAAAAAAAGTTCGATGGGTACTTGGAGGACGGCTAGACGATGCGGTAGACGTGGGCCCACACCAAACGCCGTGCAGATGTTTTCTAGCTGAGAACCGCTGTCGTAGACCGGAAATGACTCGAATGAGGGGTGAAAGGCACGGGAAATACCTCGGCCTTATCCCCGTCCTGAAAATCCGTCGATTCGAGCACGGTCTGCTCGATGCTTGATCGGTTGTAGCGGGCCAGAAACAGATGCTCACGAGCCAGCCAGCCGACACCGACGGCTATTACCTGGAGCAAGAGCTTTTTGCGGTACTTTGCTCTTATCCGGGGGGATCCGGATGCCTTCTTGTCAGACCAGATACTCCTCATAACGTAATAGAAAACGTTTTATAATTTTTTAGCAACATTGCTTTTTCAAGTGGAAGGGCTATTTCAAAAATTTGAACACTGCTTAAAGTTGAATTGCGACGGGAATCTATTTTTTTTAATCCAAAAATCGTTTCTTTTGCATTATCTGGGGGAGGGCAACCTAAAAATAAAATAATAACAAATAGGCGAAATGCTGTATACTGGTTTTACTTGTTCTAAACATCTTTATAAAACTTAATTCAAAAATACAAAATTCGATTTACCGCCAAGGTTCCGAAGTTAAACTTATTAAAGGTTTTTAGATAGCCTTTTCGCTCGAAATATAGTGAAATTTTACTAAAGCACTATTACGTACGCTACCAGGAGTTTCTGGACGTTTAAAATTTTCATTTTTAAAATTCTGACTACCTTGGTCATTTTTCATACATCTTCCATCAAAAAGTCAAAAATGTTCTTTTTATGTCTGAGCGTAAAATGCTGTAAAATGGGTTATTTCTCGTCATAGAGTCGCAAGAAATTACTGGAGAAAAATGGGTCCCCCGTTAACAGTCCAGTACCCAAAAAGGCCATCCTACCAACCAGAGCATTTGTGTATGCTCCAAATATTGCGTTGTCGACGAAACTGAGCTCGCCGCCACCGAACAACACCAGTAACAGCTCCCAGAAGGTACCTCTGAACGTTTCGAATCGTACCTGGTACTAGCCTGTTAACCGGGGGGGGGGGGTTATCAGGGGAAAACTAATTTTTTCACGTCAAAAATGTATGAAAAATAGCCAAAATGACCAAATGTCGTATTTTCAAACATTGAAACATATTTTTGAACTTTCTAGCAACCAAAAACTACTAAAAACATTTTAAAAAAAGCTATTTATTATTAACGGATCACAAGAAACCAGCTTCCCCCCCCCCCCGCTAACGGTCCAGTACCCCGTAACTTACGATTACGGGGCTTCAGCCCGTCTTCCCACCTTAGCCAAATGGCCACAAATATCCCGAGACAGCAGGGGACCGTCAGATAAAGCAGGTAGAATTTGTAGTTGTGGTGATGGACGCATGACTGTGGGATTTGGATTAGATATCGTAGAATTGGCTCCGCACTTACTTGTAGAATCGGGCAATGATGGTCCATTCGCATCACGCAGATACCACAAACCTAAAGGGAATCCGGTTTTGTTTCCTTAGCGGGGGGGGGGGGCAGTTTTGTCGATAGTTTCTCTTTGTGCCACGATCTGCGAACCCAGATTCGCTGTAATTAAAATTCTTACTCGATCAGATGGCGTTGAAAGATCCCGAAAATTCGTAAAAATGTAGCTTAACGACTCGCTTGTGTAAGTCATTCTTGCTTTCTTATATACCATTTTTTGAGATTATTTTTCAGACGCTGTCGCATAGCACTGAAGCAATACAGAAAAACAGGAAATATGGAAAATTTGCGGAAAAAACTACCCCCGCCCTCCCTGCTATTCGATCGGAGCCATAACTGGATGATTGATTAGCTAGTGAACCACTTTGCAATGGTGGGTCCTCGGCGGCTTATGGTGCTTGCATTTCGTGCAATAGGCCACAGCGTCTCCCATTCGCACGTTCTTCTCAAAATCCGCAGGGATCGGACGCGCCGGCGAGAACATCGAAAATTATGTCATAAAAACTGACTGCCGTCGACTACTTACAGCATTGAAGAAGATGCAGGAAATCAGCATCCATAATGCGATCACTACATAAAAATGAACAAGTGAGGCATCAGGGCCACCCGAGGCGATCACGCCGACGATCAATGCTTGAAACCTGCAACGGCTGTCTAGTCAAACTCACACCTACCAATACGAAAGGAAGAACATCCAGACAAACAAGGCAATAGTCCACCGAACTCGCAGATTGAAAAGCTTCCAAAACCTGGCAGACTAGCTCATAAGCGCAACACAACCGACCATGACACCAAGCAGGCTACAGATTCAGCAGCTTGCCTTCGCCCAACCATTCTCCAGTGATTAATAAATCCGAGCCCAGAAGCCGCCTAAAATCTCAAGCCACTTGCAAATCATAATGTGGATGAATATTTATTCATTCAAACATACGCAGAACAAGAAATTGGTTAGCAGGTTAGAAAATTCAACAACAAGAAATGGCACCGGAATACAGCGAACTATTCAGAAACGTCGATAACAACATTCAAGAATCAGAAGGAGGTGCATGCGGACGGGTTATTCCTCGTTCAGCGCACTGTCGACGACCGGCTTCTTTCTCGGCGAGAGCTGGAGAACAACTTTGGCCGGCACGGTCGACTTGCAGGGAGTTTCAGCCCCGGGGATGGTTGCTATAATCAGAATTTTAAGCGAAGAATCAAAAGACCTCACCACTGCTGGCCAGATACTCGAGGATCGTTTGTTTCGCGGCCTCACAGACCGCTTCCGACTCGCCAAGCACTTCAATCGGGAACATCCCATCACATCGGCTCTCAGTGTGAAGCTAAAAGTACTGATTGGATCAGATTTGGCCAAAATACCATCAGCTGGCAGCCCGTGATGTTTTCCAGCTTCTTCTTGTTGATTCCACGAGTCCCGATGAGGCGTGGTGCCTCCGCTGAATTCACGTAGAAAGCCGTGCGCTGACGGTCCATCGTCGGAAGCCGCAACGGACTGATGGGCGTGAGCGGGAATGTTGGAGTTTTCATCCTAAACCCTTCTATTCAACGCAAAAAGACTATAAACTGACCCGTCTTTGAAGTATCGCTCGCTGCGACTGCTCGTCGTGGACGGAGATTGTAACGTGTTTTGCATAGACAGCAAGTATTGTAGCGAACTGAAAATAAACAATTTCTAGAGCTAAAATTGGCCAACCCTTGCTGATTGGGGCGAGAAAGCGTTGGCGTAGTGTTCATGAAGCGCCTTTCCTTCGATTCTTTTAGTTGGGCCGCCTGGGCTTCACAGTCTGCAGCCGCCGACACGTCCCGTTGCAGCGTAGCTAAAACTCAAGTAGAGGTGAGAACCACTTTTCTGATTACCATTAGGCTCAGTAGCAGAGGCGACGAGTTGACCTGCGAGGTGATTGATGACTTGCAAGGCCGTTTCACAAGCGGGTGCTTCGCCAATGAGTGTCACAGAACGGTCCAAATTGTACTAAATTAGAGTCTGCGAGACAGAAAAGCGGTTACCTCAATCGAAACACCAGTCAGCAGACATATCCACTCTTTGTAATGCCTCGCGACCACGTATTGCAGCTCGTTGAGATTTTCCGTGCGCTTGTTTGGCTCTGTGATGTCCAATTTCGACAGGTGTATAGCCCTAAAAATTAGTGAACTGCATATTGAAGAAGCGATACCTTTCATAGTTGAAAGCGGCGAAGCATTCCATGAGAAAAAATCGTATGTAGTCCGGCGTGCAGGTTTCCGGGTGAACGACTTTCACAAATTTTTGCCGCGTGAACGTGGCAAAATGTATGCCATGAGCAGCGAGCATCGGTTCCAGGAAGGCCACATTGTCTAAAGTTCGTGAATCAACAAAAGCCGCGAAAGCGAACCGCGTATGAAGACCGACAGATTGTTGTCCAATGTAAGAATGGATGCGGTAGTCATTGCTTGACAATCCTGTTCTAAAAGGACGTCGTTGAAAGCTGTGAAAAAAGATAACAAGTTTTGCTAGACGCGCATAGAGATAAGAGACGTTTTGCTAGGATTTCGACCGAATTCGGCAAAAGAAAGCCGGAGGCAATAGTCTGAAGCAAAAATTTTATTAGGTACATGCTCATATCAACATCGAAAAGTAAACAACACAATCGAGAACCAATTCACAGAAAAAAAACGCATGGTACTATTGGAAATTATTATGGTAGTTGATCAGTCTGTCTCATCGGAGGAGTCGTGCAGCGATGGACGTCGAGACGAGGCAGCAGACGGCACCTTTGCAGGATTCTCGGCAAGCACATCTTCAAGGTTTTCGTTGTGGCGGCGAAGTGCTTCCATTCGGGCATTTCTAAACGAAAATGCTATCGGGAAGAAAATGCTTACTGGTAGAAGATGCCGAGCTTCTTCCAATCGAGGATCTCGGAGACACGCTCGCAATTGTTTCTGGAGAAACAAATATATTGGAAGTAAAGTGGTAAGAACCTCATGATAATCCGCTGCCGACGCGACAACCCGCAGAAGTCGTAGAGAATTCCAGCTAACTCCTGAATGCTTCCCTAAAAACAGGTCAAAAGAATCTGATAAAAGCACTCACATCAGCACCCTTGAAACGGCGGTCTACGATGTAGAGGCCCTTTTCGTCGTGCTCGGGGATGTGTTCCTAAACGCTACCGTCTGAATCTAACGCAAAAAATCAACCTCAATGAAGCATCCAAAGCCAGAGAGATTGGTGGCTACCGAGGGGATGCCCATCACCGTGCATTCGGCTGGGGTATAACCCCAAGGTTCATAGTATGATGGGAAGACGCCAAGGTGACAGCCGCGAACAAAATCTTCGTAGTCCAGCCCGATCAGCGGCGAAACGGAAGAGAGAAATTCTAAACACAGTCTTTGTAAAACGAACAGATCAAACCTGGGTGGAAAATGACCTTGACGCGATCATGCTTCTGGTTGATCAAATTGCACCGCCGAAGCGAATCGAGCACCTAAAAAGTATAGAAAACCAAGGAGAAAAGCCTCACTTCATCCTTGGAGTTCAGCATGTTGTGCGTGCAAATTGGAGGGAGCTCACTCTTCTGTGTGGCCGCCATGCAACGCTTCAACTGGAAAGGAGACATTAGAGGGACGTGAAAATAGGGGTCAAACCATAATGCGCTCGTTTGGCAGCAAGAAGTCTTCGTCGTCCGGCATTCGTCCACGCAAGCAGGACTCAAACATGCGGGACGCCAGCGATTCCTTGATCTTGTCGATCGTCTCACGAAGTTGCTTCGTCACGGCTTGCCCTTTCAACGACTCCACGTTGAAATTGTTGGAGGGGGCTAAAGAAATTTTGCAAAAAAAACAAGGGCTAGTTTACCAGGGTATATGATGAATGCAACAACGGTGACACCTTCGTAGCGAGGATCCGTGGTCGTCTGCAGGAAGTAGTTAAGCCGCGCCAATGATTCGATGAAGAGATCGCCACCCTTATTCGTGAATTCGTACCTAATAAATGCGTCTTGAAAACAAATAGAAGTAAAACTACCTTCCAGCCGTGAAAAAGTAGAGAGTCTTCTCGAGGTCGAAGTCCAAGTGGCCATGGAAATGCCCGCGCACGAAATTGTTGATTTTCTCCTTGGCAAGGGCATGGAGGTTCTAAAAAAGAAATTAGGTGCCACCACTACATCAAGTACCTGGAATTCATGGATCGCCGCAAATTTTACGATGTTGAGCCCGTTTGGCGTGATCAGGTCAGGCTTGCGCTGTAAAGGCATGCTCTGGCAACCGTAACAAAATACCTTCAACAAATGCTCGGCCTCGTAACCAGTGATTTCGGAAACAGTTGTAAACACATGGGCATTGTTCGCCGCTCCGCGTTCGATGCAGTATTGGTGATAGATCTAATAATTGCGTTAATAAGAAATCGTTATAAACAAAACCTTTCTTTTGCCAGCTTCGTGGTCAGTGTCTATTTTTTCCAGATTGTTGTATAGATCACAGCCGCCAGCGCAGAGGTGCCGGCCCAATAGTGTGGCGTGCGTTGTGTAGACGGTTGAGACATCGGTATTCCACATCCGCGACATGATCAGCCCCACACCGGCTTGCCATTCATGGAAGTGCGCGACAACGAGCGGCTGATAGGCGGACACCGAGTCGCGGAAGTTGCGAAGAAAGATGGCAACCATAAAGCCAAGAATGACCGCGTCGTTGGACTCGATGTCTTCGTGCGGGATGCCAATCCTTGTCCTGTAAAACCAAGGTAAACCAATAGGCAATTACATACTTCTCAAACAGCTCTTGCTTCCACTCGTTCATCCGTGCAGCACCGCTCGCCAGGTCAAAGAGGATGACTTTCGGGTGGCCTTCGATCAACCAGCGCCCGTAGACACACTAGAAGAAAAGAATTAGAGGAACTAAAGGAATGCCTACGTTCAATCCCATCATGTGCATCTTCTGCATCGCCAATCGGATGGTCCTGTTCTCGGGCTCGAGCGGCTCGACCTCCAGGCGCCAACGGTCATGCTTCTGAGGCCCGAGCAGGCAGTATTGGTCGCCGAGCTCGTCGACGCTGATGGGTGCCTTCGAGCGGATGACGGTGTAGATCCCTCCGACCTTGTTGGCGACCTCCCAGGCACACTCGAAGACGAAACGCCCTTCCCGACGGGCCGTCCGCCCACAGTCCATCTCGATGAGCTCTTCCCTAAGCAAAAGAATTGGGATAAAATGCAATAACATACTTTTGAAGCTGTAACCCGGCCATCACGCGCTCCAATTTCCCCATGGACAGGTTGCGTGGCATGTGGGTGGGGCCCATCGTCCTCCTGGAAAAGAAAATTTAGCATAAAACCGAAGTCAAATAAGAAAAAAAGGAAGGAGTTGCAAATTAACTTGCTAGCAAATTTAGCAAAATTAGACGGTAGAAGGCGCCCGGTATCCAGGTCAAAACATACTTTATAACGGTAAAATGAGTTACATCAGGGCCGACACACTTTATAACTTTCTTTATTATAACGTGTATGAACCCGTGAAGTAATTCATTTTTCATTTGCTATGCGCGAACAGCGGAAAAATTTCAAAATTTTCGAGCCCCGGAAAATGGAAAAAAAGAAAAAGACAAAAGCCCGCCCGGGGTCCTACAGCGCGCCGCAGAACGTTGTTTGGTGCAGCGTGTACATATTTTGTTTTATTTCCGGAATTCCGGGTTTGCTTGCTATTTATCTTTTACTTGCTTTTTTTATTAGAAAAACATGATTTTTATCGACCATGCTTGGCAGTCGTTTAAAAAATATTTTTTACGGGCTCTACACTTCCCTACACGAGCGATCTTCCGAAGTCACTGGCCCTTCGTCGCACTACTTTTGCGGCGTTTCGGAGGACGTGAAGCTTTTTTTGGACTAATTCGGGGGGTCTCCGAGGACCTGAACCTTCTTTTGTACTATTTTTGAGGGATTTCCCCGCACCCGGGCCGTTTTTAAACTATATTTTGAGGAATTTCCGGTGTACCTGAGCTGTCTTTGGACTATTTTTTTGACGAGTTTCCGATAGGGAGGCGTTTTTTTGGCAGCGAGCCATCACCCTACAGCCGACGTTTCAATTCCGTTTCCGTGGTTTTTTCAGACCTGGAAGAGGTCGCATAATTGGCTGCCCGACACCTGCGGGCGAGCGCCCGCTTTTTCAGGCCCTATCAACCCCATATAAATGCGTCTTTTAAAGTAGTTTATGGCGTCTTGGGACACGAGAAATTAGCGCACGCTAGTATGAAAATTCAGACTGTTCAGGCAGAAAGTCGGAAAAATCGCCTAAATCATATTTTCTCGCAACTGGTCGAATCGAGTGCCAGGCAGCCGAGTGGCTGTCTGCTGCTAAAAAAAAATGTCCGAAAACGGCACATGGGAGTGGGACCAAGCTTCCGCCTGCGACCTGTTTATCACTTGTTTTCTGAAGTTTCGAGAAACAGGGGATCCCCCTTTGTAGCTGGTGCATCGATTGGTCTCTGGAGCTGTTCGTCGACTTGTTTGTAGATGGTATTAGCGCGGAAAGAGACGATATAAGCTGTAGAAGATGGTTGATGATCCGGGGTGCTCGGGCCCAAACAAGCCCCCCAGGGCCCACTTTGCCTTGCGGAACCAGAAATTTTTAGCTTCTCCGAGGCTTTTGTCTGTTGTTTGACGTCTTCTCAGTTGTCCCTGTTGCGCTTAGAATTCCCTAGAACCGTCGAGAATGATTTCTAAATCGAAAATTCTGTTTCTATTTTTGCCAGGTCGGTCAGTTGTACAATTTGTATACGATTTTGTACACAAGTTTTTTTTGATAGTTTTCTACTTTAAATATAGTTTATTTGGTTTTCGGCTGATATGGTTATATTTTACTAAAAACGCTATTAAAACACCCTATGAAATTACTAGGCTTTTCTAGAATTGTTCAAAAAGGTCCCCCCCCCCGTTAATGCGAAAGCACCTGGATCGTTTTCAGCCTTACTCTCCGGCCTGCCAGATTTCTGCGAAAAGTCCAAACCTCATGGGAAACCGATCAAAGAGCCCTGCCCGATGGCCTCGGACCCAAATCGACTCCCAAAATCGAAATTGGAGAAATGGTTCACCCGCGAAATGTTTCAGGCAATTTTGAAGATCGTGTTGTTTTCTAAAATTCCAGGATCTGTTCCCATTCGCGAATATCGGGCTCGGGCCCCATCTTTGTCTACCCTACTCCTACGAGGCGTTTATGATCGCGGCGCGTTATTTTCCAGAATTCGGCGCCGAGGCCCCAAATAAGGTAAACTTTTTGGGTATAAAAGAAGTGTGTTTTTCAGCACTACACAGCCCAGGAACACGCAAAACGAGATGTGGCGGCTTTTCTGGCGCACGTCATCCAGGAAACCGGGAAAATGGATTTGCAATTATACAAGTAGGCTGGAAAAATGTAAAGTAAAGTAAACAGCCCTATATTTTCGGAAATTCCTCTGAAAAATTAGTATTCTTACGCGTCGGTTCTTTCGCATTTTTTTTCTTTATCTTGGGATCCATTCTTCGAATGTAAATGGCGGAAGTGATTTTCAACTGTTTTTTTTTACTATTCATAGAAGTAAAAACTTTACAAGGTTTTATTGAATTTCCAAAAAGATCGATGTTTTGACGAAAAATGGCCGATTTTTGATCGAAATTACTAGGCATTTCTGGACACACAAAAAAAAGTTCGTCCCGTTCTCCCCCCCGATACTGCGAAAGAACCTTCGCTTTTAGTACATATTAGATAGTTTAAAGTAGCAATATTGATCTAGTAAACTACCTTCAGATAATTTTTTTGAAGATACGTCAGTAACAAACGTAACACATTGTCATAAATCATTTCAGCACGTCCCTAACAACAGAAGAGGCACACGAATGTTTCTATCGGGGCGGATTTTTCAATTGGTTTGAGGGCGGCCCGAATTCTTCATTCCTCCATCCAACCGTAAGCAGAGCGTTATCGAAATAAAAATTATATAAATTCGAAATTTTAACATTTTCAGTTCCCGGGTCTCGCGGTGGCCGATGGGAAACGCTGCGTCCCGAATGGCAGATATTGTAAAAAGGCCTGTTGTGTAGATTGTATTAATGTACTGATTTTTAAGGGGGAACCGGTGACGGATTATTGGTTCCCGTGTAATGATGAGGAGGAGACGCATACGAATAAAACGTTCAATAGAGGATGTTACTTTGGCAGAGGGCCGTTACAGGTTGTTTCCTTATTTACGCATCATTTTCATGCTTTTTTGTTTGAAAATCAAAGAATTTGGAAAGTTATAACAGTTTTTTGGAACTTTCTGTACTAAAAACGGCTCAAAATTCTCGATAATCCGTCATTGCTTACGAGGCGTTAGCCAGCCCCCTCCCCCTCCTCCCGCTAAGAACCCAGTACCAGGTCTTTTGGCGCGGCGCGTTGATGTCGATAACTGGGAAATCACCGATTTCGCTTTCCTGTCGCTTTAATGTATAGAAAAACCTGAGTTGAATTTTTGCAGCTCTCCTGGAACTACAACTACGGGCAATTCCAACAATTCTTGCTTTCCAAAAAGATCCGCGTCGACATTTTGGAGAATCCGAATTTGGTCATCACCAAGATTGATCCACCGCTTGCCATGATGGCCAGGTAATCTCCGTTTTTCAATAGCGTAATCGGCTTTTTGTTTAGTCTTTGGTTCTACATGACGCCACAGCCACCGAAACCGGCAATGCACGATATTGTGATTGGTGGGTGGCGAGAGAGAGAGAGAGAGAGAGAGAGAGAGAGAGAGAGAGAGAGAGAGAGGTGGGGAGAGATACCTGGGCACGTTGGACAGAATCTAATTATCATTCAGGTAGCTGGCGACCGTCCTCAAAAAACCGTCGTGCCGGCTTCACGGGCCCGGTGTTCGGCCCCACGTCGTTGGTCATCAACAATGAATGTGGCGGCGAGGACACAGAGGAACCGGGCGGTAGGTGCATCTTCAAGACCCGTAAAAATCTACAAAAATAAGCTGCTAAATTGAAAAAAAAAACTATATTTTTAAAATTGATCTAGGCCCCGGAGAATCGCGCAGGATCAAGGCGTTCAAATGGTTCTGCAAATATTTCAACGTGACGGCCGGCCCGGAACGGTCACTCAGCTGCAAAGGTATATTTTAATTACACCATAAGGCTACAAAAGCGCGATAAAATACACCAATTTCAGGGATGCTGGACGGTTTTGAGATGACTCCGCATATGTACTCGTGGCAACCGGATTGGGGCAATATGTGGAGATCACAGGTGCCGGGAATTAAAGGGACTGGCAAGGCGGCAATCCACAGTCAATAGCCAGAATTTGAGCGCACTTGCCACCTAAAATATAATAAATTTTGCTAAAAACAGTTTTCAAAAAAGCCGCGGATCAAAATCAATGAATTTAAACAATTCCCAGGTTTGCGACTGTAAGCCGGCTCCCTACGGTGGTCCCCTGCCATATTACGACCCCAAAATATACCCCGAACGCTTCGCCAAGGAGAATGAGAGGAATCGCCTACGTTGCGTCTATAGGTATAACCCAGAATTTCCAGCAAATAAACATTAATCTCCCCTCTTTCAGCATCTACCACAAACCGGAAGTGTTCCGGCTGGACGAGGGAAATTCACCGTGCATCAAACACAAGCCCAAGGTCAAGCTCTACCGCACAGGCTTTCGAGATACATAAGGACAGTAGATCAGACAAGTCTCAAATAAATTATTCTTAGCTTTCTTAGGCTTTTTCTGGTCAGTTTTTATCCAAAACATAAACTCAACAACGAAAACAACATGTCAAAATCAACAAAAAGATAAACGACTTTATTGGGAAAGCAGCTCCTCGATCCGTCCAGTTGCCTGCACATCCTTCTCGTTTACCAACACGTTCATCGAGGCGAGAATCTGGAATTGTACGCTTCGATGCTTTCCACAAGGCTTTAGAGTTTATAATTGACTAATGTACCTTCTTCCCCGCTATCCGCACGTCCAACAATTTGCCGGCTTCCGCGTCCGTTTCGAGCGCCAACATGAAGATCTCTCCCAGAAAGCCGGCCTCGAATTTCGTGACTCCGGTGTTCTAAATATAAAATTAACCTTTTTACATCCAGTGGACAAACAAATTTTGCCTTTGTATCCAATTTATATTATCCTAAATTTCCTGAACGTCTCTTCTTAAATTTTCATTAAAAAAGAGATAAACTTGACCTGAATTGAATTCCGCCAAAATTTTAAAGTTAAAACAAAACCAGGGTTGAAAAGCCGCTTCGCGACTTTTCAACCCTGGCCCCCGTCTTACCCCCATACTTCGTCACATTGCATAAACACCTGAATTCGGTGCAGAAAAATGAAAAGCGTGTCCTCTCCGCCGTTATATAGGCTTGCCCCACTTCCGGTGCATGCAAATTGATTTCTAACAAAGAGACTGAGCGAGATTTTCACAAAAACTTAATTTTAATATCGAAAATAGCTGATTTTTAAAAAATCTTATGTGCGTGCAGTCGTGTCATGACCATTACGCACCTAATGACGTATCATACGTACCCTTAACTTCCTCTCCTATTGAGATACGACTGGAACATACGGACGGAAGTTGCATGCAAATGCACACACACACACACACACACACAAACACTATTTTTTTATATATAGTAGGATGTAACGTTTTTAAAGAGTTTTTCACCCTAAATATACTTCAATTTCGTTCAAAAACTACGCTTATTAGGCATTTTGTAAAAAGGGTATATTAAAATAAACAAGCTTATAAAAAACCATCCCCCGCTAATGCGAAAACACCAAAATTTAAACATTTTCTGCGTTTGCCACATCGTTTTCCACTAAAATTATGGTGAAATTTTACTCATTAAATTTACTTCATTAGGCTATTTTTTTGAAAACGCTACCTGCATCTGAAGCGCGATCCACACGGCCAGACCATGATTGTGGATGAGGTCATGCGCCGCCTTTTTTAGCTGTACAATCCGCTTCAATGTGTCCAGGATGGCCGTGCGGGCCTTCTGATCCGTCAGTGGTGAAGAGAAGATGCTCAGAATTGAAGCAAGCACACCCCTGTAAAAATTGTTTTAATTCAACGTTGCAGCCACACCGTCGCTTAATAATCTCAAAATCGATGTGCTCGCAACAGCCAAAACGGATGACGTCGAGGATGAAGTTGCGCTCTTCCTAAAAATACAAATTTGCTATGATGAAAAAGGTTTCTTTCGCATTATCGGGGGGGGGGGAGACATTTTTCCTTAGTAACGAATTTTTAAATATTCGTAGCGGTAAGGTTTCTAAACTGTTTTTTTTACTATTCCTAAACGTTACAACTTTACAAATTTTTAGTAAAAAAAATAAAAAAAAATCTCGAATTTTCGATCAAAGCTAGCCGCTTTCACCAAAATTTCGACCTATTGAAATTTTTCAAAGTTTTTTTTGATAGGTTTTTCAGTTCAAATATAGTTTTATGCTACGAAAACATTAAAATACTTCCTATTACGTTACTAGGCATTTCTAGATTAATACAAAAAATTGTTCCCCCCCCTATAATGCGAAAGAACCAAAAAAGACCTTGTGCTTGAGGGTAGACGTAGAAAAGAGAAGGCTCGGCAGATCGGGGACCTAAAAAAACTTTTCTGTCCTCTCAAAAACCGGAATTACCGAATCGAGCAACAGTTTGTGGCCGGCATTCTGGAACAAATACGACATGACGGCCGGGAAGGCATCCTGGTCAGGCCTGAGCGCCAGCTTCACCACACGGGCCAGATATTGGGTGATCACTAAAAAATTACTTTTTAAAATCGCCTTTCTGACTACCGTTGGGCACATGCTGCCCCTCTTGTTCGACGGACTGCTTGAAGAGGCGCAACACAAAGACCAGCACCTCCTTCGCGTCGAAGGTTTCGATGGCCAACGCGTTGAGCAGCGAGAGAAATCTAAAATTACGGTTTACAATTTTTTATTTCTGAAAAATAATGAGAGAAGCCTCTAACAAAAATACCTTTGCAAAACGAAATACGCCGCTTTTCGTGTATTCGCGTCTCGGCTCGACGTCGCTACAATAGCTAGGGAGAGGGCGTTCGATTCGACGAATTGCTGGCGGGGCATCTGAATAAAAAATATATTTTCATAGCTAAATAAATGATTATATATTTTTCTAGCGTTTTAGTAGTTTCCGCTCCCAAGGGTCATAAAAATGCGCTTATACAAACGTTTAAAAATCTTTTTTTCGCGTATTTTTGACCAAAAAGCAAAATTTTTCAAAATTTTAATTATTTTTCAGGTATGTTTATCAAAAAAGTGTTAAAGGCTATTTGAATCGTCTCTCGTCCTGATAACGAACAGAACCATCGAATTTCTCTATTAACCACCTCCGAGCCCGGGCCCAGCAAGTTGGACAACAGTCGCAGCATGAATCGCTCGTCATACATCGTCTCGTTGGTCCAGTTTTTCTTAAATAAATTGAATAAACTTGGAATATCGTTAAATGTCACCTGATGCATGTGCAAAATCGTGGTCCAGACATCTTTGGCATCGAAATATTCGAGGACCTAGGAGCGGATTTGCTATTTCTGAAAATTCGTACCTGTGCTGGCTTCACCCGGCTGTGCAAATTCGTGCCCAGCTTCTGCAGGCTTTTGTAGTTGTCGGCCGACTTGTCGCCAAACACCAACGGGCTCCAGCTGCTGAAAAAAAGTTTAGATCATTCACTAAGGATGCTCCCACTTAAAATCAACGTTGCAGAGATTCTCGGCAGCCGAAATGACGTCGTAGATGGCCAGATCGAGCGGTGTAAGCCGTGCATTGTAGTGGGTCATTAGCGCGGCGACGAGAGGCAGCTTGAAGCCGGCCCGTACGATGTCCCTTGAGGATTCCTAAAAAGGAGACGTCTCGAGGCAAAAAAGGAGTTTTGCAATGGCGACGGCGCATTGGATGGGGCTTAAATTGTTAGCAAAATCCCGACTTTTAAAACTGTTAGCGTTAAAGCTTTTCGAGAAAGCGTCCTCTAAAGTTCACTTTTTGTGAAAAGGGCGCAAAATCGGTTAATCGACTGGATCCATTCTCTGGAAGGCCGTCATAGTTCAGCAGTTTTTGAAAAACAAGTTTTCCAGTTTTAGAATTTAAAGCTCTATCCAATGAGCTATAATAGCACATCGAAAAACTCCATCTTAAAACAACTCCGTGTAACGTGTTCTGAACGATAAACCGGCAATTCTTACATCATCTTTCGCCTCCTGCATCAGCCCCTTCAACTCCAGCAGGTTCTCCACCGTCGGCTTTGCAGTCACCTTGGAAATTGTCTAAATTTTGTTGAGTTGCTGAGCTTGGCATTCACCTCGGAGCATTTCTCTTCAAACGGGGGCCCGGCTTCTACGCTCTTCTTCTCTTTTCGGCTCTTCTTTTTCCGGGGCTCGTCGTTTGTTTCCGGTTCTTTTATGCCCATCTGGAGTGTAGAAGCATAATTTAGGAGGCATTACACACTATACACCGTGGAGAAATTAGCATTTCGAGAGTCGACGTGTTTTTGAAAGGTTCTCTGCCATTTGATGCGCGTTTTAAAATCAGTGTTGAAGCAAAGCCGCTGGTATATTTTATTCGCCAGGCGAAATCTAGCTAACATAACGGTGGGGGCAAAGTGAAAGCCACATGGGCGGTGAGAGTAAATAAATTTTGGGGGTGGATACACGCCGGGGAAATAGCATGAAAAACACCCGGCTGCTTTGGACAAGTGACTCGTGGCGGGTGGGGAGAGCAAATCGAATGGTCGCAGCAACGACCAGCAAAATCCAAAAATCAAGAGGAGATGGGAAACGACAAGCTATATAGCTTCTTTTAACGGCTAGAGCCTTACAAATTTACTGGTCGGGGACGATGGGAGACGAAGAAGAAATCAAACAACCAATTTGTACATAGAAATGAAGATATGCGCTTTGGTAGATAGGTCGGGTTCGTTTCTTCCTTCAGAAGTCCATGTCGCAGGCGAAGGCGTCGTCCATTGACGAACCGGAAGTGCTGTAAAGAAATAGATTTTTCGTAGATTGGTTGAATAACGCCACAGCAGCTGCTTTACCAAAATCGGTTCTTGTTCGTTAGCGGGGGAGGGGTTTTAGCAGGGGCCGACCAAATTTTGTTCCTATGTTTACCTAGCCGTCGAATAAGGAAATACGAACTTTTTAAGTTTATTTTACACCTTTTTAGATAAAACAAAGATAAGATCAAAAAGTTGCCAAAATTTCGAAAATTCTTGACTTTTTGGTCAAATTTATGGACAATGGGTGCTTGAAACACAGAGAATGTTTAATTAAAAAGTTTTTATAACGTCTTAATCATGGGATACGGCTCAGACTATAAAAATCGCTGATATAACTTGGAACAAAAGAGGGAAGACCAATAAAGAAAGGTATCACTCCCCCCCGCTAACGAATCAAAACCCAAAAATCGATAAGGACGCAAATTCTCCAAAACACCTCCTACCTGGGAGCTGGAATGACGTTCTCCTCCTGATGAGTGTCAGCCGTCTTGGCAGTTGAATGGCGCACCAGATTGTCGCCGCACACCACACCCATATAGGCGTACTCCAGCTCGTCGGTGGTCATCTTGGCTGGAATTTACAGACTATTCCAAAAAAAAAGAAACTTTAACGAACCGGAAAAGACTCCAGAAGTGGCTTGAGAAGAGGACTGAGTATAGCCGACAGAGCTGGTGCCAAAAGACGAGCCAGAGCTATAAAAAGTATATTCAGCAACAAAAGCACGGCTCACCAGCTTGGTCCAGTCGAAATGGTAGGAGTGTTCGAGCCGAGCTTGCAGAAGGAGTTGAAACGGTCCAGCTCGCTGATCGACGTCGTCCGGGCTCGCTTAGCTAAAAAAATACCAGTTAGAAGGAGAATTCACTTTGAAGAGGACGGAAAACATCGGCTTACCGTCACGTCCCATGTTCGAGGTGCGCAGGGTGCGACGCCTCGTTTCAGCCTTGTTTCCATCGACGTGTTTCTAAATGTAAGATATAGGAGAGCGTAAAAAATTACCTTCAGCGAAGTGAACCACTCCTCTTCCTCCTCCAGTTCGTAGACCGGTTTCACGACACGGCGCTTCTCCTCCTCCTCAAATTCCTCCAGCGTCTTGCCGGCAGCAAGGGCAGCTAAAGTGATACTATAAAAAAACAAAAGATTCCTCTAACAGATTTGGAAGTTTCTGGGCACATGCAACGATTTTGGGCGTTAGAAAGCGATGAAAGTATTCAGAAACGGTGCAATGCTGAAATAAATTCATTAACGCCTTTTAGAAGTTTATAAGCAATTCAACACAAAAACTTGCGGGCTATATTAGAGGAAATAGAGTTTTAGAACGAATAAAGCCTTTTCAAAAACGCCAAATAGTACGTAACGCTTCGCACTTCCAACCAGCCAGCCCCAATTACCTTGTTTCCGTTCGTAGACACCTTCATGCTCGCCATCGCCCCATCCGCACAACTTCAGCAGCAACTCCTCCAGCTCGTCGGGCAGCCGACAAGCCTCGCAAAGCTCCCTAAAAAGCATATTAAACCTCCGAAAAAAATTTCGTTACTCATCAGTCATCCATTCCCACGGGCGATCGGCTCGGTAGCCAGGTGGAGGTTGCGGTTTCGGCTTTGGGGCTGCAGTGGATGTGGAGGGCTTGTTGGCTGGCTGCACTCGATTGGTAGGGTTGCTGTTCTAAACGTAGGTATTAATTCAAACCCAGAATTTTAAGGATCAGCACCCGCCTGAGAAAATATGACCATTAACAACCGTTTTTTTGCGTGACCGGCGGTTCGTGACGGCACCCAAGTCAGTGTGCGGGAATTTACGCTGATTCTGAGGCTGTTTTCAGAATTTGGTAATGACCAGCTTGTAATTGGTAAATTTGCTATTTGAAGAAGCTACAAGGAGGTTTTTGTGAGGAAAATGCTCAAAATTACATAATTTGGAAACAAAATTCCTAGCTGGCAGAGCTTACTGAGAAAAATATGACCTGCAGTGCTGATGAAAATGTTTTCAAGAAGCTACAAATCACTTTTTTGTAATAAAAACCCTCAAATCACCGAATTTCGCCGTCTAAAAATCTTTGGCCTCATATTTCGGCACGACTAACGAGTGATCTTGATCAGAAAAATACCAGCTTTTCGGAAAGTCGCGTCCAGAAACTCGATTCACACAAAAAACGTATAAGAAAGTTGCACAATTTGTTGGATTTGGTTTGCCAAGAACACTGTTTGCCCCTTCTCAGAAAAGACCCGAATTCCATAGCACCACAACCCTACCTCAGGCATCCAGCTAAATCTGCGCCGTGCAAAGAATTGTGTATTACTAAGATTCCAGGCGCTTGTCAGGCACATCATGGCTACTTTTAGTATCAACAGAGAATAACGGGGCCACAGCTGATAAGCGTCCGCGTGAATGGATTCAAAGGTAGGCCATCCTGAATTGCCCTCCGGCTGCGGAAGCAAGAAAAAACGATGATGGGGACCAGTTCGGAATGGGTGTCCTCTAGGGGTAAGGGGGAAGGCTGGGCAAATGGCGCAATGGCACCCCCAATCGCAGAAATGGCCGTCACCTCAAAAGGGCCAAGGGTACTGACGCGATATGACCTGACCGTGGCCACGATAAACAACCCTAAAGGGACTGCTGGGTATTGCCGACACCAATTGAGGGTCTATGTTGATCTAGCGACTATCATTTGCTACCAGAATCAGCTCAAAGGCTCGGGGCTATACTAATTTCCGGCGTTTGCTTATTACGAGGACAACTTTTTTCTTATCTAAACTCTAATCTTCATAGACGAAGTGTCTTTAAATTAGTTCTACCATTCTAGAACGTACAGAACTCTTTATTAAAGCTGTTAAAAAAACTGCTTGCGGCAGAAAGTTGTCGACTTTTTTATCAAGCCTTCAAATTAAAAACAGTTTTCAAGGTTCTCAGATAGTTTTTTCGCTTGAAACTTCATTAATTTTCAACAAATACCTTGCTTCGACGTTACTACTCCCCTACTCTCCGTGTCTGATCATGCCAAAGAACTCGATGTCGCTAACCTGGGCCGAGCTCCAGCCGGAATTGAGCAAATTCTGAGATTATGGTACGCAACCCCCTAGTAGCCAAGTAAAAAAAGTGAAAGTTAAACATAATTAACAAAACAACTCAAAGTTAGCATTACCTTCCAGCTGTAGCTGCTGTTGCACGGTTCGTAGTGAGAAGCGTATCGAGCAAGAGGCGTTCCGCTACGCATCGGCTAAATAAAAGATATATAGCCATTAAAAAAGAAATTACCTTAAAGCTATGAACGTTTGACGTTCGTCGTGCTTGCACAGGGATTCTGGCTCAAAAACCTGTGAAAATACAATGTAGGAAAATCATCAGAAAGCTCAAAACTTGCCAGAGAAAAATTAAGAAAGCTAGCAATAAAAATGAGCAGATAGAGGCAAGAATGTCGATAAAAGTAGGGGCAATTTTCGCGTCTGTTCGAAATGAGACAGACAGACAGGGGGTCAATCGGCGGGAAATCTGCGATATGATCTCCACTTTTTACTAAAGTTCTGCAAATTTTGGTGAGAAAGGGCGCAAAATGAAGCCTCAAATCGCAACAGAAATATTGGACCTATCGTGCGGGAAAATAAGGCGCGTCTAAAGAATTTTGAGCCCAAAACTATCCTTATCTTCCGCGTAATAGGGCGAATAGCTTCAAATCGACCGGATAAACTGGAGCTAAGCAGGAAAAGTGAAAGGATCTTCGAGACGAGAGAAACGTCGACCTTGGGCTTAGATTTTCCTGAAAATGAAAGTCGGGAAGTCTGGAAGAACAACCCGCTAGACCCTTGACTTGACTAAACAAATAAAAATATAGTAAAAACGTAATAAATAAGATTAGGCGTTGGTTTCGGCTTAGCTTAGGCCAGGCTTCGCCAGGCTAGCATAGGCTTAGAGACCAGCTTAGGCCGGAAAGAGCCTCAAACAAAAAGGCTCCCACCCCAACATCAATAGCGCCGTCATTTCCGGTCGAGCCTGATTAGCTGTCAGGATTTTGCGCGCTGCGCCCAGGAATTCTAAGTGGGGAATGATGAGGAAATGGGCCTTTCTTTCTGGTATAATCTTTTTGAGCTTGCAAGCAGAACGCTGCCAATTATCAAGGAAAACCCCTTCGCGCATGCCCCCAAAAATCAAATCAAATCGACTCATCAACGCGAAGAGACAGCTAGCTAATCAGACCGGGGGCCGGAGGGCATGGGGTCACGCGGTCTCGCGCAATCCCTAGCTAGGTGGGTCCGGGTCATAGCCATCGGCTTGGGGAGGGCAGAGGTGTCGTCTGCTGTTGGTTGGGCCATACAGGGCTGAACAGGCAAAAGGGGGGATGGAGAGGGGGTGGCACAGTGCCAGCAGCCGTCTCTCCCATCCATCGGTCGTACCAGTCTGGGTGAGTGCAAAAAGGGCCGGTCGGTATTTGGTGGGCTTCGCTTTTGCGCGAGTTTTAGGCGAAGTGATCGGATTTCGTACTCTTTTATCACCTTTTTATTTTTAAAAATAGTGAAAAGTCTGAACTGTTAGCGGGGTAACCAAATTTCTCGCCTGTTTTCTACGACCCCACAACAAAATATTAACCATTTTCATAGCATTTTACATAACTTTGATGTATGAAAACAACCTAAAAATTTTTGAACTTGTGAACAAAAAAGTCAACATTTTCAACATTTTTACCACGATTTTTTATAACTTTAGCAATCGAAACTATTAAGAACACTATAAAAATATCCAAAGTGGAAAAACAGAAAGTGCTCCCTCCCCCCGCTAACAGTCCAAAACCAAAAATTGGATTTTTGTTTTCCAAAAAATTGGAGACAAAAACCTTCTTCTCTCTACTCCCTATTTTGTACAGGGCGTCGGGGACCGTGTTTACAATTACCTCTGCCAACTTAACACTTTAAAAAACTACGCGAGTTTGAAAAATCGCAAAAAAACTCCCAAAATTTCTCTGCTAGCCTGCCCTACATTTCCTATTTTAGTAAAACGAAAACTTTTTTCTTATATCTCCAAAAATCCCTGCTAGTTTGAATCGGTAATCTTGGCGAATCCGGCGCCATTCCGAACTGAATTTCCGAAAAAATTTTGAAAAAGATTTCGGGATTTGATCGAAGCTTGCGCAGAAATCAGCTGCACTCTCATTTTCATCACTTGGCGAAAAAAATAACGTATTGTTGCTCTGAAACCAATTGAGTGCGACTCCTCAGCGTCCATTTCTCTTTGTAAATATTTATTGGTCAGTCATACGAAGGTATAAAATTCACAGGCGGCGGATAAGGCGAGCTCGTTGGGCGGGTTGTTGACTAGTTACATGGCATTTTTCATATAAATCGCGGGGAATCAGAGCATTTGATACACAGGAACGCAAAAAAAAGAAAGAATAATTCTCGGTAAGCTTTGCACTCGAGAAGACCCTCAGCCGAGAATTGCGCGGTACTTCTGAAAAAAAGAAATGATGAAAATGGGGATAGTCAATTTAAAACATAAAATTACGAATCCGTTTTATTAAGTAGATTAGTGATTTTGGAAATTAGAAGATCAGGAAATTATGTAGGAACGAATTGTTACTAAGGATGCAGGGCTTTTGCATTACCGGGGGGGGAGCTACGATCAAATTTTTCTCACCTTTAGAGAAACTGTTTCTACGCTATTTCTTACATTTTTTCGCCAAAAACATCAATCTTTTTTATCAAAGAAATACAAAAAAAAAATCGAAAAAATGGCCGATTTTCGTCCAAAATTAAAAAAAAGCTTTTTCAACGTTTTTTAGATAGTTTTTCCGATGACATTTTGTTAAATTAGACTAAAAACTACCAAAATCGATGTTGTTATGCTCCTAGCTGGAAAGGATTAGGAAAAACTTTTTCAGACAGGAAGAGAAGCAAAAATTCGCCCCCCCCCCTGTTAATGCAAAAGAACCCTTACATTAACAATTAGAACGCATAAAAAAGGTATTACTGTTAAAAAGGAGTTACAGAACGTGAACAACCACCACATAGACAACGCTGGGCCCCAACCTGAAGGCTATACCTGGAGGACGATGCCGACGATAACCGAAATCATGATGATGGGCAGGGTGGGGAAGAATCGAGACATGAATGTCGGCACTCCACGACGCTTTCCGGTCAGGAATTGCATGTTCTTGAATTTTTTGTCGGTCATTGGCGGGTAGCGAGCGCTGAAAAGGAAGGAATGTAGATGATTTTCCAGTAAAATACTCACAACAACAGGCTCTCGCCAAAGAACCCCTTCTTCAGCACCGACTTCTCGTGGCTGAACGTGTCGAAGCCGAACTTGCCGCGATATCTGAAGGGGAAAGAATGACAGGAGAAAACTTAGGTTTTTCTGGGAAAAACTAGGTTTTACATTGCAGAGGGGGAGCAATTTTTCCGTCGTGCAGGGTCAATTTTGGTGCTGGACTTTTAGCGGGGGGGCTTTCGCGGAAGATTCAATTTTCCCCCCAGTAATGCGGTACTGCCTTATAACGCAATATAAACGGTACATAGTAGGTATTTTAGATAGTTTTTAGCTCATAAAAAATCATAAATTTATGGCCAAAATGGCCAAAAAGCACAGGATTTTCGAATTTTAAATTAAAAACAATAATTATTATAACTTTTTAGCAGCTAGAAACTACTAAAACACTACAAAAATACATTACATCTCATCAAAATACGAACAAAAAAAACAAAAATTAGTCACTAATTTTTGCGATGGCGCCGTAAGATCATACAAAAAACTGAAAAAGCTATTTTGGAAGATAAGCAGCCTCAGGGCTCCAAAAAAAATGCGTAAATTCGCGTAAAAACCAACCTTCCCATGCCGGAATTGCCAACACCGCCGAATGGAAGCGTATCGACTGAAAATTCAGGTAAAAATTGACTGGGAAAAGCTCCTCACCTAGCAAATGCATAATGACATCATTTACGGTGACACCGCCACTCGTCGTCTCGCAAAGAAGACGGTCGGCATCACGGTCACTGCGCGTGAAGATGTACGCGGCCAGGGGCTTCTCTCCTTCCTGAAGAAAAACGTCGATAAGGGATAGAGAGAGAGCGAGAGAGAAAGAGAGAGAGAAAGAGAGAGAGAGAGAGAGAGAATATGGTGCCGGAAAAGACAGTCAATTTGTTTTCTCCGCAAAAAAAAACGTACGCGGATGTACTCGAGCTGCTCGTCGAAGCTGTTGATGGTCAGGATGGGCAGCACCGGGCCGAAAATCTGAATAAAAGTTTTTAGGGTAAAAAATGACGAAAACAAAGAGCGGTACTGGTTCGTTAGCGGGGGGGGAGAAGCCAACGAGTTTAAAAGTTGAATTTAGGAAGTTTAATAAAGTTAGTTTTTAATTAAAACCCAAAATGTCAATAAAGCCCAAATTATTTTTAGTGTTTTTAGCAGTTGCCGATCCAAGTTTTAAAACATTTTAAAAAGTAATAACGTTAAAATCATAATAATTTTGAGAAACATCTAAAAATAAAACTTTTTTCATAAAGAATAAATAAATTTTCGAAATATAAAAAAATAAAATTTAAAGCTAAATCTAAGAGTAAAATAACGTAAATTTTCATTAAAACGGCTGCAATATCTCCCGATTTTTTAGAAATTATCAAATTCCTCACCTCATCCTCCATAAAAGCGTCATCGCGTTGCACGTCGAGTACGGTGGGCGGAACGAAGAGATCGTCGCGATTTCGCTCCCCGGGGCTTATCAGCACCTTGCCCTGCGTCTTGTCGAGCAGTGCGGCCACTCGGCTAAACCGATTTGTAAATACCAAATTTCTGCACAAAAGGCCCACTCGAAATGGCGGCTGCTGATGATACGCGAGTAGTCCTTGCTGCCCTGCACGTCGTCGCCGAAGAATTCGCGTACATACTAAATGAGAGTTTATGTAATTTTATTGCAGTACCAGGGTAATAAAAATTTTATGAGACCGGTTAATAAAAACAAAATACCATGAACTCAAAAAATTCGGAAAAATTCGTACCTTCCTGAGAGACTCCACGAATTTGGCCTTGCTCTTCTCGGTGACCATGACGTAGTCGGGGGCCAGGCAAGTCTAAAGGAAAAAAATATTATTATTTTGGACGATATGCCAGAGAAAAACACCATTAAAACTCCAACCTGTCCGCAGTTCATCCACTTGCCCCAGGCGACGCGCTTCGCCGAGATGTCGATGTCGGCGTCGTCGCGGATGATGACAGGGCTAAACGGGCGTTGGTCTTCATTTCAAATCGTAAGATTGCCGTTGCTTTCTATTCATTTTCATTCTATTATGTGCTTGACATCAACCATTTTTATGAAAATAACTTTTGTAAACAACAGATCAAAAAATTCTTTTTTTAGCTCTAAACTGTACAAAACAAAATGAGATCTCGTTCACGATTGTAAGCGCGAAAAACGGACCATTTCCCGCCCAGCTCGAGCGTGACGGGCGTCAAATGTTTCGCCGCGGCCGCCATGATGATCTTGGCCACCGGCGGGCATCCGGTGTACAGGATATGGTCGAAACGCTCCTAAAATCCAGGTCTGTAATCGAAAATTTTCTCCAAACCGTCAGCAACTCGGTGGTCTCCTTGACGGCCCCATTCACGACGGTAACAACGCGCTAAAAAATTTGCTTGAAAAAGGCGGGATTAGTTACCGGGTCGAAATATCGGGCAATGCAGCTCTCCATGGCCTTGGCGGTGTGCTCGGAGACTTCAGACGGTTTGATCACCACCGTGTTTCCTAAAAATTCGCGTATAGGTTAGGGTCTTTATTTTCCGGGGGGGCACCTAATTTTCTTCCTAAATGTCCGCAAATGTAAAACAATCTAGCAGATATTTTAATTTTTTAAAGCAAGTCGAGTTTTAAAAAGTTAAAAGCTAGCTGGTTATATTCCAAATTTCCAAATTTTTCATCAAATAGCAGAATTTGCTGGAATTTGGAAATCGCGTTTCCATCTTTTTTTTTGGTAAATTAAAAGCAGCTAAGACGGCTCCATTTATACCAGAAAAATTGGATCCTTAGGAAAAAAAACCTAGTTCTCGTCAAAACAACGCTAGAATCTTTGAATGAAAAACCTACAAAATTTTCAAGCCATCAGTCCAGAAATGAAAGAGATGAATTTCGAAAACTCTCTGCTACCGAAAAATCCCTTACCAGCTCCCAGTGCAGGGATCAACGGCAAGGTGATCATGCAAATCGGGTAATTCCACGGGGCAATGATCAGCGTCACTCCCTTCGGGTCCTTGACGATCTGGGGTGTGTCCAACAGGTTCAGCATCGTCTTCGAGACCTAAAAACCAAATATTTACTACAAGAAATTCCACTGCTCACATTTTGCGGCTTGGCCCAATCGGCGAGGTTGTCGATGAAGTAGTCGATTTCCTGGATCGAGCCTCCCATTTCGTAGAGGTGGGTCGTCTCGCGGCTCTGAAAAGATAGGAATTTGGAGTTTACTACTACTTAGGGCTTTAAAAAACGGTACTGGGTTGTTAGCGGGGGACGATATTCGGGATAACTGGCTAGCAAAAAAAACGCATTATAAAGTGTATTTTTAAAGTGTTTTTCGTAGTTTCAAGTTATGAAATGGCTAGTACAACTTTTTGAGCAAATTGACCATTTTTGGGTCCTTTTGCATACATTTTTGGACAAAAATAAAGAAGTAGGATCAGAAATAAGATTTTTTAACTTGCTAGACCTAAAAAAGGACGTAAAAGCAACAGAAACTGCGTGGATTTCATTATTTTGACCCTACGGGGCGATGGGCCAACGTTGGGTCCCCCGCTAACAGCAAAGCACCCAAAAAACAGCAAATCTCTCACCCTCCTATGATCTTGGTAAACGGCATCGGCCAATTCGCCCTCACACTCGACAAGCATCTTTCGCAGCCTAGAAGTTGACATTCCAAAAAACGCTTCCGAAGCTCACTGTTTCAGCTGCTGCTTGCGGAATTCGAGTGGCCGGGTGGCGCCGGTGTTGAAGAATTGACGCTGGTTTTCGACGACCTAAACAAGGAAAAATTCATTTTCATGAGGTGATAAAAAGTCAATTAAGTTATTTTACTTTAATTTATCAGGAATTAGCAAGCCTATCCTGTGCAGAATTTTGTGCTGAATCCGAACTTCATTTCTGAATCTGCGAAACGAGCAGATTCAAACAGATATGAAAGTCTTAACTAGATTTAGGTTTTCACAGGTAAAAAAGGTCCCAAAATGGCTCAAATTCGAGAAATTTTTGCCCTTTTCGCACTGAAACGTTTCATAACTTTCTGAATCTGATGATCTCGCAGATTTTGAAAACAGGTACGGAATCGTCCGATACGAACAGATACGCAAAATTTTGCACAAGATAGGCTTGATCCCAAACGGAAACTAGTCTCTCATTAAAAAACGTTTGCTTGTAAGCAACATACCTGATGAAACATTTCGCCCGTTCTAGTAGAATTCAGTCGAAAAAATGTAGAAACTGGCCAAACCGGTGGCCGTGCGAGTACCCGAGTTGCAACCTGAAAATGGCCGATCAGCATAACTGGGGCGCTTTTTGATGGTGGCACAAAGCTAGAACACTATAACAAGACAAGAAACCCGTGAAATATGGGCAATCGTTCGCCTTCTTTGCGTTTCGTTATCGTAGGAGTGGGGGGAGGGCCCAGCAGGTGAGGGAGAGCGAGATTAGAGTGTAGCGTGGGCAGAGCACCGCCACAACACTACAAAACAGCCGCTGCGCCGATCCGCGATCGCAAATGTGATAAGGGCGCGGGTCAATAGCGCCGGTAAATTTTTAGGGGTTTTTCGGAGTTGCGCCGCCCTCAATGGAGTGCCTGAAAGTTCGACCTTGGATTTCGAGATTTCAACCAGGGGACTATGGCGGCCGGAAAATGTGGTGGTCCGGCAACCGGAAATGGTAGCGCGAGGACGACGCTAATTGGGAAGCCATGCTGCTAATTTTACATTCTTTAGAATGGCTTACAGGTCAATTTATAGCACTGAGCCAAATGGTTCTTTTGCATCATCGAGGGGGGTTGAAATTTTTCCGAACAAGTAAGTCCTGAAATGCCGGGTAATCTAATAGTAGATATTTCATACTGTTTTTAGCAGAATTTAACTATATTTTAAGTGGAAAACGACAAAAAACGGAACACTTTTTGGCCAAATTTTGGTCGAAAGCGGCCATTTTTAGTCGAAAAATCGACAATTTTACATTTTTTAATCAAAATCGGTAAAGTTTTTACGTTAAAAATGTCAAAGTTTCGCCATTAGCCAAAAATGACTCGATGTTTTCCGGAAGTGAAAGACTAAAATCTATTTTTGTTGTGGGCTACAGGCTTTCCAGACGGAGTATTTCAATTCTCGAGGGTCGGCCATGCTTTGAAGTACAAATAGACCCGTAAATGCGCCATTAAAACCCAAATTAGGTCAGCACCCGAGCTGACCATAGAACACAAAATTCGCGTGCTAACCCTGCCAACAAACCAGAATACAACGCATCTGCCCGTCGCTGAAGTATTGACAACACAAATAAACACACCATAAGGCGAAACGAATTGGAAAGCGCGTGTTGTGGAGGCGGAAAATGCTTGGTTGCTCGCTCGGTCCGGCCGACGGATCCCTAAAAAATGCGCAGGTGCATGACGGCCCGATGATTCTTATCGAATGGAAGCCGGGGCGCGACGAGACTTTTCCAACAATACGATGCGGGAAATAACAGGCCGCGCGAGGGGTGGCTGGTCGCAAAAATTGGCAAACAATTTCCAAGGTCATCGGGGAGGCCCCGGCCGTCGATCTCCGGCCAGCGAAAGGAGAAATCCGGGGAGAAATGGCGGTTTGCCGGAAAGGTCGCGCGCCGGGTTTTTGAGGATTTACGAGGGTGTAAAACTAAAGGTATTTGCGAAAGGACCGACATTCGCTTCTTTAGCATTGGGAGGCATCCGAGTTTTTCCGGATTCCCGAGATACCTAGTAACATCACAGCAATTATTTTAAAAGCCTTTTTAGTAAAATTTGGCTTCGGTTAAAGTCCAAAAACATTTTAGAAACTTAGTAAAGAACTTAAAAATCGAAATTTTGGTCTAAATCGATATTTTCGAATTTTTAGAACATATTTGTCAAGTTTGGAGATTTAGAAACAGACCACCCTTATAATTAGATTAGAAAAAGGCGATCCTACGGCAAAAAGAGCTCCTGAAAAGAATAAAGAACCAAATATCCTGCTCCCTGGCAACGCGATCAAGGTCAAAAACACACACATTGGTGGTTAGATAGCGGTGTCCGACAGCAAACTACTGACACTCATGTAATCCGTGTTTAATTCGTAAACATTTATTGGTAAAACCTAAAAAAATAACACCGGATAAATTGTTAATCTTCGTCTCGCTTGCGCACATTCTTCGGGGCGCCTCCCTTCTTCTTGAACTCGACGACCTTCGTCGTTTTCTTTGTCGAGACGGGGGCCGTCTTTTCCTAATTCAAAAGATACCCTTGGATAAAGTGCAAAAATCTTACTTCAAAAACAATCGGCGGTTCTTTCTCTTCGAATTGCATTTGTTGCTCGGCCTTTTTCGCCTCCTCCTCTTCCATTTCACGATATTTTGCGGTCAGCGGCGAGAACACGGGCTCCCTGGGAATTAAAATGCAGTTTATTGTAGACACAATGTTGTTTTATTTACAAAAAATGCAAAAATGGTTCTTTCGCATTATCGGGGGGGTGTATTAATTTAGATTGCCTCGTACTCAATAGGAAGTATTTCCATAATGTTTTAAGAAAAATTAAACTATTTTAACTTGAAAAACTATCTAAAAAAGTCGAATTTCGTCGTAAAATCTATATTTTTGTATTTTTAATTAAAATGTGTAGTTTTTATGTTTAGGGATAGTAAAAAAAAACAGTTTAGAAACCCTTCCGCCATTTATATTTAAAGCATTGGTTCGTAAGAAAAAATTTTCTTCCCCCCGATAATGCGAAAGAACCTAGACACCATCGTGTGCTATTTACAAAGCGGAAAAATTACAGGTGATCACGTAAAATACAAAAAAATGAAAATAGCTTAATTCTGCTCACTTGTCAATTGTCTTCACCACTCGCACCCACGCACCGAGAGCGCTCGCTTCGACCGGCAAAAACGGGTTCTAAAAGAAAATTGTTAGAGGGTTAGAAAAAAAGCAGAACGCGGTAAAAAAAGACGAAAAACTTACACTAGTTTCTGGTTCCGCCGATTCTTCGAATTTCGGAGCTTTCGGGGGTTTCGGCACGCCAGGTGGAAGATCAACAGTCACGGATCTGCCGGGGACGTATGCTGAAAGAAATACCATGAACTTTTACGAATTCGCGACCTATAAAATTCACGTATTTCTTTTCTAATGCTCTCGTGATCTCCAATTTCCCAAAAAAGGCATAAATATATGCCTAAAAATTCTAAAACTACACAATCCTTGGTCATGTCGGGCAAAAAAGGAATTTTTTTCATTAAGATAAATTTTATGTCCTTAGAACCAACTAAAAACAACGTGAAACAACCATCAAAATACTTGGAATTTTTTTATAATTTGTTCTGAGGATGCCCTGATGAAAACAGTAGCCAAAGCCGATTACTAAAACTACAAACCTGGCTTGGAAGTCGTGGGTTGAGTTGGCGCAGGAGGTGGGGGAGGAGGAGGCTGATCGGCCGGCGGCAGCGGGATGTCCATTCCATTTTCATCGGCTTGTTTCCGTGCTTCCGCTTCCAGCGCCTCCATCTTGGCCACATATTCCGCCTCGTAGCGCTCCTCGCGCTTGTGCTTCTCCAGCGGTGTCTCCTTCTTTGCCTGCTTGGCGGCGCGTTTGGCGGCTAAATAAAATATGGGATTGTTAGCCCGAAAAATTAAGATCTGAAAAATTCATAGTTTCAAAGTTTTTTTTGAGAGTAGAATTTGGAACTTTGAAGCCTCATGGATAAGAAGAGCCGTCATTCTTTATCATTACGAGAGAGAGGGACTTTTTAGGATTTAATCTTAAAATATAAATAGTGTAAGTGTTTCTAAACTGTTTTTTACTATTCCTAAACGTGAAAACTACCAATTTTTATAAAAAATGCAAAAAATAGATTTTATCGACCAAAATTTAAACCTTTTAAACATTTTTTCAAAGTTTTTAGATAGTTTTGCTAGTCAAAATATACTTTTCTTTTACTACGAACGTTATTAAAATACCCCCTCCCCCGATAATGCGATCACTTCCCACTCCAAAAATCTACATACCTCGGTTCTTCAGGCGGATGTCGACGGGTGGTGGTCGAGCGGCGCTGACCGCCGGAATGCCGGCAATCTCCATCAACTTCAAGCGCTTCGCGTACTCCTCGGCCTTGTAATACGCGCCCGGGCATTTGTATTTGCGCTCTGGAAGAAAACGTAAATTTAGTCAGCAACTATCTGTACTTACGCTGCGTGTTCATATTCCAGTAGTACGGCTTGCCGGTCTCATCGTACGACTGGACCCATTCAATATCTACCGCTTGCCCGTCCAGTGACATCGGCAATTCGCGTACTGTGCTGCTGGGACATACTGAAAGCAAGGAATATGCATAATTTCTGATTATGGCAAAGATTTTTGAGATACTGAGAGATTCTTGCCCATTATCGGGGAAGGGGTAAATTTTCTCTAAAAGCCTGCAGAAATTAAAGATATAGAAAGAGGAAAAAACTATCTTAAAAGTCTACAAAATTTATGAAAATTTGAACATGGTTGAAACGCTAAATTTTCGTTTTTGTACTGAGAGATTCGACGGTTTTTACGTCTAGGGATTGCAATCGTAAAAAAGGAACTGAAAAATCTATTGAAACCCCCACAAAATTTTCAAAATTCGAATATGTTTAAGAAAAGCTGTATTTTTCAATTCTATACAAAAAGATTGCACCATTTTTACGACTAGGAATTGAGAAACAGTTTAGCGACCCTTCCATCAAATCGAAAAATTGACCCTGAAAAGACTCCCCCCCCCTTTTCCTCCTTTTTTACCAATTCCCCGAATACACAACTTCTGAAATAAAAGGTTACCTTCGGAAAACAGATCGACGCCGGGCGGTGGTCGTTCCCTGACCTTCTTCTCGGGAGGTTGGCCTTTGCCAGCAGGCCCTGTTCGCATCTTCGATGATGGGTCATTCCCGAGTGATGGAGCCTGTAATTAAAAGATTCCCTGATCCGTGCCAATTTCAATTTCAATGAATCTATACAAAAACACCACGAAGAAGCCATCAATAAAAGACTTACCACGCAAGAAGGACCGCCGCTCTCAAATCGCGCTATTTCCGTGGCCATCGACTGCGCCCCTCGGTGACCTCGCGGGTCGAAGTAGTTGGTGACGACACCTAGGAGGCAAAAATTTACCCTCTTTATCGAGATAAAAAAAACGAAATTAAAAAAGTAAAAATACTGTTTGCCCTAAAAAAGCGCCGCTCTATCAGCCAGAAAGCTCGGATTGGAATGATTTTTATGGAATTTGCAAGGTCTTGAAAAGATGAGAAAAATATCGGGCTTAATTTAACAAAATCCGGAAGTTTTAGAGATTGAAATGCCATTTCAACAAAAAAAAAAAATCCTTTTTTTTCGAGGATATAAATCCTGGACGATTAACTTAATAATCCTGGACCCTAAATACGTATTTTCTCGCCCTTTCGAGAGCTATCGATTGATAGATAAAAATTTATACCCAAAGCATACCAATCCGATACTCTTCCGATCCGCTAGAGGGGGTTTTTCGGGACAGCTTGACGAAGACACGTACCTGTTGGTAATGAGGGCCCATGGTACAGATCTTCCCCCATTTGAACCATCTTCGCCACGGCCGCCTGCTCCATCTGCGAGACGATCGAGTTGTGCTCTTGCATCTAAATGAATAAAAGTATTTCGACAAGGGGTACGATCAGGTTACCTGCTTATCGCGAGCCTGCGCCTTCTTCTGCGACTCGGCGATGCGGACCTTGATCATATTCTGATGGGCCTGGCCACGCTCGTGGAAATCGCGCGACAATTTGTTGTCGGTCATCCATACCTGAAAATAGATTAATAAAAAGTTTATCGGGGCGAACACAACAACGTAGTACTTTTTATTAAGAATAAACCTACTTTGCAGATCTCGCAAAAGTGGCGACCGATGGATTTCCATGCTTCCGTCATGGTGAAGAGCTGGTTTCTGAAGATGATGAATATATGGGGGTAGGAAACGAACAAGTGCGCCAATCGAGAAACAATGGGAAAGGAACTATGAGGTCTTTTCGGAATGCAGATCTGATGTTTTCGAAAGAGGGGGGGGGGTATACATCGCGTAATCGTCTTTCGGGCAGAGTACGCCCTCGTACTCAAAATAAAAGGCATCGTCGATATCGCCGTGCGCGGGAAGTGAACTTGTAGATGATTTTGGCGCAAAGTTGCCATGTAGCCCTTCTAATGGAAAACAGAGTTCTTTGGGATTCGCGGGACCAACTTTTTTCGGTGAAAGCCTGTTGTTTATAAATAGCGGATGCGTTTCTACATTGTTTTTAACTATCTCCAAGCATTAAAAATCTAGAAATTTTTACAAAAAAAAATGCGAAAATATAGATTTTTCGCCCAAGATGTCGACTTTTTCAAAAATGTATAAAGGTTTTTAGATAGTTTTCTAGTTAAAATAAAGTTTTGTTTTACTAAAACCACGAAAATACGCCCCCCATAATGTGAAAGAACCAAAATTTTGCTATTTCGATAAGTTCAACAGAAAAACTCGTACGCATTCACTCGATGTGCAGTAGCTGTTCTTTATTTCTATAAAAAACAAGGCAGCATAAATATCGATAAGGCCACAAAGTTGATAAGGTACCGCCGGGTGATTGAGGGGATAATGCACAGTAGTGGATTAGGTAGCAAAAGGCAGGAAAAGACACACGCCAGACAGAGATTCCATACAAAGTCAAGAACGTCAACCGCTAAAGCCAAAGGGTCGGGGAGTACAAGAGCAAAAATGAGATTACAAGCTTGGAGAGGGTGTATGCAAGAGGAAGCGGAAGGCGGTGGCTGCGGATTTTTAGACCTTCAGATGCCATTCCTTGATGTTGGAATCTTGGCCGATGGAGTAGAGGGTCGAATCGGAGAGCCACACGACACCATTGACAGGAGACATCGGGTGGGCCGCCTGGAAAGCAAGAAAATTGTGGTAAAAACTCTAGGAAATTTACTCACCCTGATGATAATCGGGTGTTCTCCGCTGTGGTCCAGATCCCAGACAATCACATTCGTGTCGATACCACCGGTAGCAAGTCGACGGCCGGATGGGGCCCTAAAAATAATGAGAATTTATCCGGTGCTTGTGTATTATCGGGGGTGTTAGCGTACTTACTATTTTTCACGAATAAAGGCTTAAATAACTAATAAATTTCCAAAAACTGCTCCTGCATGGTTTTTTTGCTAATTTGGCAGTAAAAATATACAAGCTTTTAAAGTATAAAAGAAAAAAAATCGAATTCGGCAAAACTGCAAATTTTAAAAATTCTGCAATTTTTTTAGATAACTTTCAAAAGAATTAACAAAGTAAGTAACAGTTTCACAAGTAAAAAAAAAGATATAGGCTCGCCTCCTCAACTATGCAGAAGAAAATCCCATCAAAATCTACTGAAAGCCTTACCATGCTACGCAATTGGCGCGAGCGGTATGGAATGTCCATTCCTTCTCGTTGGCGCGCACAAAGTCCTTGCCCACCGCGTAGGCGACTACTTTCCTAAAGCACTATTGCATTCAAATTCAGTAAAAATCTACCTGTTGGCGTCGGTGGCGGCCAGGTGCTCGAAATCGGGCGAGAAGGCGAGGGCCGTCAGGAGGCCGCTGTGGTCGAGCGTCTTCTCCTCGTTGAGCGCGCCGGAAGCGAGCTTGTAGATGTGGACCTGGAAAATCATTGAGCGAAGGCGAGGATTTGTTACCTTCTGATCGTCGCCGCCAACAGCAACGTAGCCCTTCGCCTCGGCGACAGCGACGCAGGTGGCCACGTATTTGATCGGAGCCTCGCAGCATTTCGAGCCATTCTTGAAGACGGCCACAGATCTGAAAGTGTCGTTAGACTAAAATCGCACATTGTACATTGATTTTCATTGTTTCTAAGCGTTCACTCATGTAAAAATTTTTATTTGAGATCGGAATTTTTTTCTACTTTTTCAAAAATTTGAAAGCCCACATACCCAAAAATTTCACCGTTTCAACACAAAAATTCGGAAAGTTGGTCTGATTTAACAAACGTACTTGTTGCAAGCAACGGCAACCAGACTTCCGTCCTTGTTTGAAGCGACGCCAAGCGGTTGTGAGGAAAGCTTCGTCGCTTCCGGCTTCACCTAAAGGTAAAATGTAAGCATACGCGCATCGCCCGAAAAAAGCCGGCTCCAAAGGCGCTCACCTGTGCATTTCCCTCGAGCACATTCTTCGCAAATTGCAGCGAATCGTCGAAGCCGACGGTGATCAAGGTGCCATCGGCGGTCAACGCCATTCCGGAGATCTGAAAAGACCGTTGATAAATCAATTATCAAAAATCACCTGTGTTTTGTGGATTTGAGGGGTGACACGGATCGAGTCGCCAGAAGCCAACGTCCAACGCGTGATGTGACCATCTAAAAAGTATTGAGGAATTTGGTACGCTTTGAGACATCAAGAATGTGATAGGAAAACAGTAGCCAATTCATCGCACCGTTTATTTGACTCTATGAAAAATTTTTTACCTGAATCCGAGGTGAGCAGCTGGCCCTTGTCGGCGCTGAGGACGACGTTAGTAAGCGGCTTGTTGTGCCCATAGACCGTCTTCTTGATTTGGCCTATTAAAAAACGTCATGATAACTTGAACATCGACAAACCATCCTCGAGCCTGTAGATGAAACCGGCCAAATTGACCGAGATGAGGCCTTCCTTCGTCCAGAGAGCCGTCAGCTGTTGGTCTTCTACCGCGTTGCCGAACGTGATCTAAAAGAAGAATAGCTCTCATACAGTTTTTCCGAAAATCATAATTTTATTGTATAATGCAGGCAAAAACTATTTTTTGAAAAAGCAAAAAACAAACCGTTTGTTCGAGCTTTCGCTCGGCAACATTCCAAATCTTGACAGTCTTGTCCCCAGATGCCGTCGCAATCTTCTGGCCACAAGGGCTCCACGAAAGCCCGAACACACTGCCGGTATGGGCGTTGCCCTAAATCTCAAGCGTTCGAATATAACGAGCAAGGGTACCTTAGCCTTCTCGTCGATCAGCTCGGCCACCTTCTCGCCGTTAGTTCCCTCGAACAGCACCACTTTTCCGTCGGCAGACGCCGAAGCGAAGAGCTGACCATCCGGCGCGTATCTACAGGAATTTAATTTAAAACACAAACAAGATCGTGTACCTGACCACCCAAACGAATCGGGTGTGAATGTCGTGGAAGAGGGTCTTGAACTTAAACGGAGGGCCCTCGAAGATTGCCACGGTATTGTCCTGGAAAATGAAGATATAGACGCTATTGGATTGCTATCTTTTAAGCCTCCGCTATCAGACATTTTTAAAAAACATAGAAACTACTTTAAAAAAAACACTTGGATTCGAACGAAAATTTATTTTATCTTCAATTTTTCAAAACTTTCGTAGAAGTTTCACCGATTCCAAGACAAAATTTCTTCTGCCCGCATAGAACCCGGCAATTCCGGAAGTCGTGAAAGACGGAGAATTTTTTCCAGCCACCAAGCGTTCGTATCCGGCGCAAAAAACTCCAGAATTCCCAAACACACCTCCGAGCCGGTAATCAGCCGATAGGGCCTGACGGGGCGGATGTCGATCGAAGAGACGGGGCGCGATTGGCCGGAGAGATCTCCGTTTGAGGTGCCCGTGTCGAAGAGGATGGCGTGGCCGAAGCGTTCACGGCCTTCACCGACAGCAGCCAATCGCTTTGAGTCGTCGGACCTAAATTATGGGTTGGAAGAATGGTGGAATCGTTATTACCAAACAAGGTCTCGGATCGGGCCGGCGATCATTTGGAACTGGTTCTTCAGGATGTGGGTCTTTTGGGTGGTGTCCCATAGTCGAACCTGAACAGAAAAGTTTTTATAAGTATTTTTGAAGAATCTGATGATGAGATATAGGATTTTCAAAGCATATCTAGAAGAATTCTAGAAATAAAAGAAAATTTTATGAGTGTTTAAGAGGCCTGATAATGAGATCAAATGCAAACTGATATTTCCAAAGCGTATATTTTACTACATCGTTTGACAGCGGAAAAACTTGTCATCAATAATTTTTGAAGTCACTCACATTCCCGACGCTATCCGCCGACGCGTTGTAGAATCCGGATGGAGCCTGCTTGCAAACGGTCGTCGGATGGGAGTGCTCGGTGTAGACATCCGTGCACACGTTGTCCGCGATGCGCACCGTGTACACCTAAATCAAGGGATTTTTGGTGCAAAAAAACACACTTACGGAATGGCCGGCGCAATAAATAATCTCGTCGCCCTTGGCCCCGGCGCCGAGGACGATCGGCTGGCCGCGAGTCGTTCGAGGCAATGAGGGGAACACTCGGCCCGCCGAGTACTCCTGATTGTCGGCCATCTGTAACAGGAAAGCATGTAGTTGTTGTGGATTGAGCAAGACATACGAAAGATAAAAAAAGGGAAAAACGAGGGAAACCCAGTAAAAATGAAGCATTACTATTTCGGGTCCTGTCACAAATCCTATCCTATAAGCGAGAAAAGTATGTTTGTTTTCTGTAATGACGATTTCTCGGCCGTCAGGCCGAATTTCGCGCTGATTTTTGGCATGGAGGCGGAGAAATGCATTTGCCAAACACGCATTTTTTTGTTTTCCGAAATTCTTTGATTTAACAATTTTACAAGCAAAATAGTAAAAATCCTTAACAAAATTGGCGACGAGCCGTGGTGTTCGGGGCATAACTCGATTCGCATTTGGAATTTCGGGCTGAAATTTGGACCAGTTATGTATTCGATCGTGGGGATCACGCGCATCTTATTATCTTTGCAAATTTTCTGCAGATTCAGACTCAAAAACTTAATTTTGTAAAGTGACCAGAAGGCTTCCCTCCCGGGGCATTGGGTCGGCCTTTCTGTGCCTCCCGGCCCCCTATTTCCCCGGAACAGAAGAGAGCTTTCCCGCCGCCTGTTCCCATCTACCCCGTGGTGTAGTGGATTTACGGCCGGCCTACCACGCCTTTAGTCGTGGGTTCGGATCCTGAGCAAATCCAACTTTTTGCTTTTTGGTAGTTTAGCAACTAACCATATTTCTAGGCTCTCGGTGTGCGAGGTTTAGGCCTGGCCCTCGCTCTAGCACCGCAGGCCTAAGAAAAGGCCCTTGACCCAGGCTCTCGCGCCGCAGGCCAAATCCCGGAGAAAAACCAGTAACTAGCGCCGCAGGCTCAAAGGTTTTAGCGGAACGCTGGCTCTAGCGCCGCAGGCCAAAGAATGGCGCCATTACTCAGGTTCTTGCGCGGCAGGCTAAAAGAAGAAGGTATTCAAATTCATGATTCCTGGACGGGGTCCAGTGGAAAATGGCCGCGAAGCGGTCTTTTTCCACTGGTAGGCAGATTTTGCGGCCACGAAAATTGCGCGAACGACATTTTAGCGAATTGCGAAAAACTAGATGGATGAACGCACGGATTTAGCAAACCAAAACGAATCAAAAAGTCTCATCTAGTAGTTCTGAATCGCATTAATTTCATTCATGAAGACAAAAAGCTATAAAAGTCAGCAATTTTTAAGGTTGTATATGTTTTTAAAAACAGGATTGGACTGAAACGATCGCTGAAAAGCCGTTCGAACAATCGTCATGGCCAAATCTTACTAAGAATCGGGGTAAAAAGGACCAGTTTAAAAAAATATCAAAAGGAAAGTCTTGAATTGCCGTATTGCAAGAAAACAAAGAGCAGAAGCACATTCATACAGTGCCCGTATTTCACGAGCCTCGTCAGCGTATTGATCCACAAAGAAACGACAGCAAACCGCCCAGCTGGCGCTTGAACGAACATTATGTGGGTGGACATTTCCGAGGGGAGGATGGTAGGGTGAAAACAACAAGTGGCCACAGGCGATCGGAGGAGGAGGAGAGGCTCGAACGAGTGACCGTCGATCGGCCCGGGCGATCAGGAGCTAAGGAAAGAGGGGAGGAGAGTAGAGAGTATTAGCTGAGAGACGGCGAGAAAACGCTGGGTGGAGGAACGGCGGCTAGAAAGAGGGGCTGACGCACGCAGGCCCCTCCTCCCCTACCCCCAAACTGACTCAACGCTCGGAGGGCGCCACATGAACCCACAACACTAGGCGCAAAATAGATGCCCATTTCGAAACGTTGTCGTGCCGTAATCAGGGAGATCAGCCGTTAATTTGGCGTGGAATCGGTTATTACAGAATTTGGACGAAAATTCGAAGCCCTGAGAATTTTCGGTGTGTCACGACACTTGCAGGCCGACATTTTGGTACTAGACTGTTAGCGCGGGAGGGGCGAATTTCTTGTTTTTCCAGCTATAACCTTCTTAGCAATAATCTGTAATGTTTTTATAGTGTTTTCGGTAATTTTTGATTACCAGAAGTGACCAAAATATTTTGAAACATTCTGAAAATTCAAAAATGTTTCTATTGACCTTTATTGGTCATTTTCACCAATTTAAACAAAAATTAAAAATTTTGTATTTTGTTAAATATTAAATAATACTTAATTATTTAATATTTAACAAAAAAATTAAGAATTTAATACTTAAAAATTTTGAGTTACAGTCTTGGTATAGTGGTATCGCTATAGGGGGACGGAATTACTGGAAAAATTGCCCCCCCTAACAGTCCCGAACCGAAATTTTTACCGAAAAACTCAAGTCCTATTATTAGAGCAAAATAATTCGAGCTATTGATGTTGGGGGGGCATCTTTTTTTTGGCGCACAGTCTTAGGCTTAGGCTTAGCTTTAACTTTGCGTACGCTTGGCTTATACTTAGCTTGGCTTAGGCCGAGGCTTAGCTTAGGCTTAACTTAGGCTTGGTTTTGGCTTAGCTTAGGCTTAGTCTAGGCTTAGTTTAGGCCTAGCCTAGGCTTGGCCCAGCCCTAGCTTAGGCTTGTTCTAGACTTAGCTTAGGAGTGGGCTTAAGCCTAGTCTTGGCTTAGGTTATGCTTAGGCTGGGCTTGGCTTGGTTAGCTTAGAATTGGAGACAAGCTTAAACCGGAAAAAAACCTCCAAAAAAAATGCCTCCCCCAACATCAATGGCTCCAAATAATTTAATAAGAGCGATCAATAACTATGAAAAATAATATGGTAAAAATATTGAAAGGGAATGATGAAATCTAAAACGAATTTGCGAAATCTCAAACCGCAATTGTCGGACAGCCTTTCGCAAACGGTGGCAGTACAGTTTGCGACAAAAACCTTCACCACACAACGGTGATACAACGCTGCGTATCCCTTCGCCCAGCTAAAAACCGCCTGCTGGCTGCCCGAAAAAACCGCTAAAAATAACAATAAAGAAAATCTAACTTTCGAAACGAAGGAACGAGGTCGGCTTCTGTATCCGCTCGAGCAGCACGATGGGCACGTTCAAGGAGGCTATTTCACGTCTCTCGAAAAAACTTTTAAAAACTACCTAACCATTAGGGCACGGTAGTAGACAGTGGTTCTCTGGCGCCAAAAAACGAGGTACTGCGGTAAATGCATTAGGCAGAATAGATCAACCTTAAAGTTATTAAATTAATTTATTTGGAAAAACGCTTCGGTTAGCCTTTTTGTGGATTTCTAGTTTTGGATTTTTTATAATAATTATAAAAATTCAGGCAGCAACCCTTTACACGATTGCGTTCGGGCCGTATTGGTGCGTACTAACGGTTACGGTTACCGTAAGCGTTTCGTGGCGGAGCTACAGGAAGCCAACACGAGTTTTTTCACATTTCGCCCATTTCGTCAAAAAATCTTCGAGGATGTTTTTAAAGTTTTTCTCACATGAGTGATTTTTCGGCAATTTGTAAAATACAACCGGTACAGCCGTTTCGAATTACATAGGTGGTCAGCTAGAGAGCTAGAAGGTAGAGAAACACCCACTATTTCTATCGGGGCTGTACCGGCTGTAGATTACTAATTGCCAATTTTTTTCGGAGATTTTGAGGTTCTACGTTTTGGCATAGTTTGAAGTTGTCAATATACCTTTCAAAAATTTTTGAACGATTTTTGGAAAAAACGAAGGCTGTTTTGGACTCTGACACTCTGTTTCTCTAATTTTAAGCTGCTTCTCGTCTAGAAGTTTTCTAAAGGAGCGCTCTATTCAGCAGGCCAGGCTGACACAAATCACATAGCAAAACTGGAAAACCATCTAAAAACAGCTCCTTTTCAGCTGCAAAATCGGCAAATCATTTTGTCTTACGCGATCTTTCTCTCCGGCTCTCTGATTTCATCATTTGAGCTTCCCGAGTTTTCTCTACTAGGCTTTTTTATTTTTTTTTCGCGAATTGAAGCATCTTATTTTTTCAGGTTCTGATGGGCAGTAGACCACCTCTTGGCCAATATATAGCCAGGAATGTTGAAGCGCCGCAGAAATATCGCCTACGGGTCAAGACGGCCGATTCAAGGCTACTCGATGACTTTGCAAGGGAGGGCCGTCGCCTTTATCACACGGTTGGACCCTTTTGTACACGAAACCTTACGTATCCGAGTTTAGGGGATTCTGAGTAGAAGCGGACTCGATCGCGTGTTGAAATGCACGGCGCTGGAGCGCAAATCTACCAAAGCGGATTCGTTCCTCTACTATCACGTTCGTTTTCCTTGAATTTTATACAAACTGTTGTTCAGTGGGAATACTCTGGCCCCAAAGAACGTTGGGGCGAAGATCTGTTGGCTTTCATCAGGTGCTGGCTGCGAGCTGTTCAGCAACGCGGGTATTTTTTAGCTTATTTGGCAAATTTGCCTTTTTCAGGCTGCAATTCTACGACGTGATGGACCCAACGCCGGTGTGGACTATCCCGCCCGAGTCGCTCACCACATCACTAAGGTGCTTTTTTACAGCTTCTCGCAATATCAATCAGGCCATGGAAATTGCAAGAGTTGCGATCTTTCTATTTCGACCAAAATTGAACATCACGAATTTTTACGCAGCTTTGGTTCTAACTACACAAGCTGGCAAAAGTGTTGACATTGTTTAGAACTAATAGGCCCGGATTATGCCAGAAAATACTATGCTCTTTTGCTAGAAATAATGTTTTTTTACAGCTGTCTCGACGACTTCCCGGTGCACTCGACGCTTTTCGGCAGCCTGCCATGCCGCCGAACCTTCAACGCTCACTGGGAGATCGCATTCGCGCCGCATTCTGAGGAGGGAGAGCGCGCTGAATATACGGCTTCATTCATCCACGACGAGGGTGTCGTCCTCGTCACCTACCGGGATATCGACTGGCATCAGACGGGTATATAATTTGATCGTTATATAGATGATACTGCATAGTTTTTGGGCATCTGGTAATTTTCGTCCTAGTGAAATCGGGCCCACATAACTTTGCTAATTTGGAAGAATCGTCAGAGCGGAAATGAAAATCCAAAATGGGCAGCAAGCAGGCCCTGAAAGCTACAAAAACATGAACGCTGCTGATTAGCTACAAAACGTTCCTTTTTATTCACGAGGTATTTTTAGAGAAGAACCGCCGCAGCAACCGGAACCACCGGGACACATACGGTCGCCGTGGCTCAAGCCGCCACCACAACGGCCACAATTCCCATCATCACGGCCGTAATCACAACAACAACCGCGAGGCTCCGCCTGTTGTCTCCAAGTATTCACTCAAGGTTTGTCCATTATCTTGAACCCTGTACGATCTACGTCGGTTTTAGTTGTACTACAAGCACGTCAGCCGTATCATTGTCGATTTGGTTGGAAAGCGCGACGGAGACTCATACGTCACGCTATACTTTGTCAGCGTCGTTCCCGTCGAGTTGCGCAGGGTGTGTCCTTTAGAAAAAATTCGATCCGACTTTTCACGATGCAATTTGATTTTGGATAGATAGACGTTCGGGTATTGAATTCTCGGAGCAAAGACTTTTCGGCGTGGTGTCTTATCTAACTTTGAAAATAAGTGCATTTTGAGGTCTTATCTTCGCTAGTGTTGATTATATATCTTTCCTTTTAGCATGCTCCCGGTCGCCAGCAGGACATCCGGGTGACTTCTGTCTTCCGTGGCCGTCGCAGCCAAGAAGAGCCGCCGAACGGCCTCATTGCTGACTGCAACGTGATGGCCGTCCGTTTCCACCCCAACCACATGGTGCAGTTAAAAATTAGTCTGAAATGTGTCGTTTAGTCGGACACTCAGTTGTACTCCTTGCTGGCCCGTATTTCCGAGCGAAACCCGATCACGGAAATCCAGGTGCGCTCAGTTTCGATTTGCTGCGATTACTTATTTTGTTGTTTAGGTTGCCAGCACCATGATCAACTTTCAAATTATGGTCCACGAAAGGTCGCGGCGCAATGCAGCCAATCGCCAATACGAGCAGCGCCAGGTCGCCTGGTCATCAAGGTATGGTCCAACTTCCTACCGGGCTGTCGAAAGTCAATTTGGAAAGTCCGTGATGTCGAAAATCCTTTATTAGCTGACGAAGCTGTTCGGTGACTGAAAAATAATCACGGGTGTTGTAACTTCGTCAACTTTAAGTTCGCACAGTTTAAATTTCGTCAAAGGGAAATAAGCTAGCGACGTGAATTTAAACTCAACTTTAAGAACTCTTTTTTCCAGAGGTTCCGGCCGCCACCCGTACGGCTACTCGGCTCCCACGCCAAATTACCAGCTGTATTCCTACTATCAGTATGACCACGATGAGCAATGGACGAGGCTGGTTGGACATTTCGCTTTTCCGGTTCATTTCGATAAATTACAGTTGAAGCAAAGGCCGCCCAAGCCGAGCTTCTTCCCGATCGCCTACTTGATTGAAGCGCTTTTTCGACGCGGATGTGTGGTTAAGGCAAGGGTTTTTTTTTAGCATCCGATGAAGGCTATTATTTTAGGACCAATTTCTTGGATCATGTGAGCAATTCCGAATTTTTCTGGACACTATTAAACACGAATGGGAACGCGATGCGGAGGTAGGGCCTTTGTGACCATGGCTCTGTTTTGTGAATAATACGGATCCAAGTAAAACCAACTTTTCAGCGCTGCGAATGGGCACTGGAGGACGTGTTGGGTCGGGTGTCGGAAGCCGACGAAGCTATTCCAATCTTGCGCAATTTTCGGCGCACGGTACGTATCATATATTTTTTGGTTCTATGGCTACTTCCAGGTGGAAAAACCGATGGACGTGTCGTGTCGCTCCAGACGCCGCGAGCTTGAGGCCGGCTACGTGCGCTGTCGGAAGCTGATTGTCACGCCCACTCGATTGTTGCCCCTGCCGGCTGAGACATTGATGGGATGCCGGGTGTTGCGCAGCGAGGATTCTCAGATGGCGCTGCGTATCGCTTTCAGGTACAGATCTCGTCTTTAGGGATATTTTGGTATTGGACTATTAGCGCGGACGAAACAACTACCTTGCCTATGCATACCTAGTGAAAAGTTGTTGCTAAAAAGGACAAAAGAGAGTTGCGACTTGTTTTCTCATTTTTCAGACATTTCTGATCAAAAACACGGTTTAGAAAATTTTAATGATTTGTCTAGCAAACTGTCATTGTACTAGAAAATTGCGCATAAAACCATCTAATTCGTATGGATTTGGTTATCCCTTCTACAATAACCGCCTGGTACGGCATATTTTCTCTATTGCTAACAGACGCTTGGTTTTTGCAGGGAGGATGACGGCACGCGCATGTTCCGCGGTCAAACTTCGGAGTATCTCATGAAGCAGCGCGTCAAGGACACACTGATCAGGGGCATAAAGTTGTGCGGTTAGTTTTCGTCAGCCGTTGGAAGCTCGTCGTGTCGGAGCACCGTTGTTTCATCTATTTCTTTCAGGCCGTGACTATCAATGGCTGGGCAGTTCCAATTCGCAATATCGCGAGCACGGCGCATTTTTCGTGGCCAGCGATGGTCGGGATGTGCTGTAAGTTGGCTTTTCATCTCTCAATGTCCTCTTTAGGGAGATTCGCAAAAAGTTCGGGGACTTTACCAGCATCGAATCCGATCAAAAGGCCATGTCTCGTTTCGGCCAGTGTTTCACCCAAAGCAAGGTATATTTATCTCATTATTACGGGGTCTATTTCCGTTCCAGGGCGTCGAGATCAGCATCCAGGAATGGGACTATGAGACGGTGCCCGACTACATTGGCGGCAATGATAGCAACAATGCTCCATACATATTTTCGTTGGTTTCATTTGTTTTTCTGAGCTTGGTGTTGCAGTGATGGCGTGGGCACGATTTCGATGGCTGTGGTGAGCCGCATCGTGGAGCAGCTTCGCCTTCCTTCCGATTTCTCGCCCAGCGCCTTCCAAGTACATCGCCAAATTTTTTACTGATCCGAAAACTTTAGTTCCGATTCCGCGGGCTGAAGGGGATGGTGACAAAGCATCCGGTGCTCGACTACAATAACGACTTCCTGGAAAGGCTTCAAATTGGCGATGTACGTTTTCTTGAATATAGAATTGTGAGATTATCGCGTGTGCTTTGCTACCCTTTTTCCAGCCACAATCCCTCTTTTTAGCGTCATCGCCTCGAATCACCTCCACCACCCGGCTACCTGCACTACACCGACTTCCAGTTCCGTCCATCTCAGACAAAGTGAGAGGCACATTCATCTCTTATTCACTTCAATTTTTTAGATTTGTGGCCCCTCACGCTAGTGAAATCGAAGTCGTGAAACTGGCCGCGCCTTCATTGGCCACGTTGAATCGTCCGTTTTTGGCCATCATCGATCAGGCAAGTTCTAAAGCTTTGATCCGATTTCGGGACCTTTTGGCCATTCCTACGTTCCAAAATGCATTCTTTTTCAGGTTTCTTCGATGCAATCTTCGACCTGCCATATGAGGACGCGTGATCGTGTCGAAGAGCTGCTCGACAAACATGTTGAAGAGACTTTACGTGTACTTGTGGACGAAGAGGCAGCTCGAGAGAGGATCCGCGTAAGTTCTTGGACGAGCGCTGGTGAATCTTGCCTATAGTACAAAGCGCCGAAATTTCTGAACACGACACTTTTTTAGGCGATGCCCGCTCGTATCGAGGTTGATCGTCTTAAGCTCAGCCACGGTTTCCAACTGACGGCGGAACCCTTCTTCCGGATGATTCTCAAGTCGACCGTCAAGCACACTTTTTGTAGGATTTGATATTTCCCCGCTGTATCTCAATTTTAGGCCGCGAGCTGCAAAAGATGCAGATTCGCTTGCCGGCGCACAAGGCTCGCATGATGTTCGGCGTGATTGATGAGACTGGATTGTTGCAATATGGACAGGTGAGAGCTTTTATTTTTCGACCTATTTGATGCATAGGTATTTGTGCAATACACAAGGAACTCGGCGCTCAAATTCCCTACATGGCACGCTGGAAAAAGTGTTTTGACTGGTAGGTTTCAATTGCCCCTCGTTTATTTTGTTTCCAGGCAAGGTCAAGGTGACGAAGCACCCTTGCATCTCTGCTGGCGATGTGCGCGACTTTGACGCCATTGACCTTCCGCAGCTTCGCCACCTCGTCGACGTGATCGTGTTTCCAAGATGGGGTCCCCGTCCGCATTCTGATGAGATGGCAGGTATGATCGTTTTTTTTTGCTTGGCGGGGAACCAATTGACCTGCCTAGATTTCGCAATATCTGTCGGCACCCTATTTTTGGGCGATTTATGAACCTAATTAAGTTAATTTTGGTTTTAAGTCGAAACCTTTTGCCGTACCTAAATTTAAATTTAAAAAGTTTTTTATTTCAAATCTAGTTAAGTTTTACTAAGAAACAGGCTTTAGTGATTAGGCCTACCTGGTCTCAGGAAAAAATTTCTCGTAACGAAGTATACTTTTAGGCTCGGATCTCGATGGCGATGAATACGTGGTGATCTGGGATGACCAACTACTTTTCGACTACAACATGCCCCCATCCGATTACACTGGGTTGGCACCGGGTCTACCCGTCGTCACCAGCCACACCCAACACTCGGAAGATGAAGAAGAGGAGAGTCCCATCGTTGAGCTGGACCCGAGAAGGCGTCAAGATGATGATGACGAGGAAGATCTGATCGATGTTGCGGAATACGAAGAGCTTGCCGATCTATCCGCTGGCGATGTTTGCAAGGAGGAGTACAAGCCGCGCAGAATCGTTGAGCTCACCATTACCCCTCCGCGGACGCCAGCTTCCAAGCCCATTATTTCCAAGGAGGAGCGCACTGTCAATGAGGTATGAAGTTTAGTTTATATTATACGGGTAAACCTATTTTTAGGTATGATATTGATTTTATAAATCTTAAACCATTCAACGATGATGTATAAATGGTTGAATGGTTTTTAGAGGCTTTCCAAGGATTATGGCTACAAATTGTTAATTTAGGTGATCCAAGCTGAGGCCGAATGTTATGCTAACTACATGTTGAACGACACATTGGGCACGATCGCCATCGCCCATTTGAGCAACGCTGACCGTTGGGGGCTGCTACATCCAGTATTCATCTTTTATCACAGGAATTCACGATTTTCTAGGTCTGCGAAACTGTGGCTCGTCTCCATTCGAGGGCCGTCGATTTCCCCAAGTCTGGTCAAGCACCCGAGCGACTTTCAAAGAAATGGGGGAAGGCCGAGTAAGTTTTCTGTTAGAACGGGGGAAGAGCACGCGCCGCTCTGCTAGCTTCATGGTAAATTCTGTTTTTAGCGATCCCGACACTGGACTTGAGGTTGAGGTGCCGCCTACGAAGCCGTTGTTCGCGCCCGATTTCCTCGACAAGGATCACGAGCCAATGTACAAAAGTGGACGGCTGACGGGTTATTTGTGGCGGTATTTTCATTAGCAATTTTTTTATTTTGTGTTTAGGAAAGTTGATAATCTCATCGAAATGGTCAACAAGACGGATACTGAGGAACAGAAGGTATTTCCCAAATGTTTATTTCAAACTACCTTTGGATTTTTAGAGCAACGAAGACTTTCTCGCTCGTCTCGAGATCAAGGGTTGGGAAACGTATCAACCGGAAGCGCGTTTGAACTACGACTACTACATCGAAGAGCAGCAGCATCTGATGGGACAATTTGGAGTGGCCACCGAGGCTGAGCTCTTCACCGGCGCCTACCTTGACTTTAGGGGCAAAAACGTTTGTGTTTATCCACCGCTATACGCTTCTTTTTTCCAGGCTCAACGGGAGAAAGATGAGCGTTCGGCCTTCACCGTTGCGGCAGCCGTCGATCAGAAAATGCACGACATCTGGGGACATTTTCGGGAAGGTTTCTGCAAGAATATCCAGGTTTAATTTTGACCCGAGCATTGTAGCGTTAATTATGATAGGGTCCGCCTTTCGGCAAGTACGAAGAGCTGACGGAGCCCTCGGAACGGCTGGGGGCAACTGGTCCAGATGACATGGCGCATCGTTACTTTGCCACCGCTACACAGGAGATGAAAAAGAAGGCTGTTGCCTATTATCACGTTGTTTACGGTCAGTTTAATTAGTGATATTCACGAGCTTGACATTAGTTCCTCCACCGAAGTTTCTCTAATGAAAGCCCTGAAATTTCTATCGAAAAAAGGTGTATACGAGCTCTATGTATTCAAATTGTTTTGTCAGTTTGACGTTGTTGTACAGAACCCGGGAATTGCTAGGAATATCTGGATTTTACCTCCGATTTTTGCTATGGTGGATCGGAAGTCATAGCACCATCTACAATCCGGCGAGGGTGATTGAAAAACGGCGCTTGGGCTTATATTAGGGGAAATACGGTACCGGTCGTAATACGGCGGAAAAAACTAGTGACGCTATTTCAACCTTCTTTAGACCGGTACAAAGACGAACGAGATCTTCGCGACAACCACCTCTCGTTTGCCTGGCTGATGTGGGACATTTTGGCGCTGGTGATGAAGGACAACTTTATGCGCGAGGCGCAGAATCAGAACACCGCGCATCGAACACTCGTCTATCCGATTGAACAGGTAAACCCGTGCTCAGTTCCCTAGGAGTTCACTGATTTTCAGCTCCTGCTCGACGAGATGTACAAGATTCCGCCTCACTACGAGCTGCGCTGCATGCGATCGCCTCGGGTCCCGAAGTATCTGCGCGTCTACCCGGAGATCCTGCCGATCCTCAAGCTCGTCGAAAAGTGGGCCATCACCAAGAATCTGCTCAAGACGCCGATGAGGGTACGTTTTTTTTTAATTATTCCAGTTGTTTATAGCGGATTATTTTCATCCCACGAACAATTATTTTTTTTAATTTTTCAGTGATAGTTTGAGATTACAACAAATCCTCTTACACCTAGTTTTTGTTTATTCATATTTAGGCGGAACACCTGGCCTTCCTGTTTCTGTCATGGGCTACAGGCACTCCAAGGGGAGCCCAACCACCCGCCAAGCTTGACCGTCTCACCGACGCCGAACTCGAAGATCCACGGGCCCAGCGCCGTGTCATCGAGGCACTTCTCATAAACCCGGGACGCTATTTGCTACGTTTCCTAGAGGTATGGATTTCATTATTGGGGAACTAGACTGCGGTTCAAACTTACAATACTACTTGTTAGTTTGCAATTTTAGGGAGGATAAATTTGCTTTTGGCACTGAAGGATAAATTCTTCATCCTCAACTTTCCATTTCAGTGGCTTGGCTCGGGAGCGTTCCGCCACCTGCACATGCTCGACTTTCCGCTTTGGCTCGGTCTCGACTGTATCTTCTCTGACGGCGAATGGGCAAAGTTGTCCGAAGTACTGCTTTCATTTTTTGTACAATTTTCTATTCGTTAGGCGGCTCGGGAGCTGAATCTCGAGATGAGCCTGAGCGGGCAGCCGAGTGTCATGCTGGAGCATGAAACGATGGATGCTCGATACAAGGACCCCGTCAAGACCAAACTCTTCACCATCAATGTGAGCACTGCTTTGAAGTTTCTTTTTTCAAAACGTGTCTGGTTCCATATAACTAGCGATTTACAGGTTCCTAACGTCAAGAGAAGCGAATACAAGGTGCACGGACGGGTTCTCACCGATGACAACGAAAGCGTCGAGCTGCTCTGTGGACGTATGATGGAAGCCTACAATCTGCTCGAATGCAAGATGAGAATCCGACAAAACGGTCAGTTATGTTTTTGCCTCTATTTTATCTATTATCCACGTTTCGGTTCTGGTGCGTTAGCGGGGGGAGGGGGTGAATTCTTCTTTACCTCTATTGGGGCAAATGCTAACCCGCTAGCAAACGAACCGCGGTATCTCGGTTCTCCCGTGAAAAAGGGAATACGCTCTACTCATTCCCGATTTTCAGATGATCTAACGGGTTGTCTCAACGTCCGTGTCTTCGTCCGGGGCAAAGCTTCCTGCCTACTGGCCCTTCACAAGGCTCGCCTACTCGTCTTTCCAATGGTATGACCGTTTTAGAGCGATCTTCAATTTCGTTGATTTTCAGGACCCAGAAGAAATCGAGGATCATCGTGAGGAGGACGACACGAGCGTGATGCGAGAGATGATTCGCCGTCTCATCATCCGTGCCCCGAAGCAGTGATGTAATGGACAAATTTCGGGATTTCTCCATTTCACGATCTCGTTCACCCGATTCCTCTGCCGCATATCCTTGATCTCCACCCATTCGGAATCTCTGCATTTCTCCACCCTCCCAATGCCCGTTGTATAGTTAGCTATCTGCGCACCCCAAATCGGGTTTCTTTTTTGTTGTCGTTTTGGGCGTACGAGCCCCTTCCCCCGTTTTTCTGGCCGTTATTGTTATTTTGGGCCCCCCCATCATATTGCGCACGTGCCCGTTATAATTTTCGAATGTTGTTTGAATGCCCATTTTGATAAAATTTTTGTAAAAAACATTCCGACTGCCCTGGTGTTCCGACAATACACAATATCGAGCGTATCTTGGAAAAGAATGGAGCAGGAAATTATGAAAGCGATAATGAAGACATGCGTAGTGAGGGATTTCATCGATTTTGACACTCGCTGCTTGTCCCCGAGCGTTTTTTAGCGATCTTAAAGGGATGCCGACGGCATAGTCAATCGATTACGCGCGGAAAAGAAAATGTCTCTGCGCCTCTCCCCTGGGCGCGCTCTCTCCCCTGTTGGCTACTTGCCAATTTGTTGATGGGGGGGGGGATCGACACATGCCGTCCTCATCTCTTTAACCGATTTTCATGCCTTTTCACGGGTCCTGATTTAAAATTTTTCTATAAGATTTGCGATTATTTGTCCAAAAAGTGGTTGTCATGGCTTATCGGGCGTATCCGGGTGTTCGCCGACTGCAGTGAATCATTTCAGACCTTGAGCCTAAAGCCGCGTTATCTGACCTAATATAACCAGGCTGCGTCAAATCGAGGTCAAAAACCGCCGTTTTAGAGGGTTCGTCTCACTGCATTTTAGCGATTTTTGGAAATTGTCTGGTTTCAAAAACTTTGCCGTTAAATGACTACTGTCTTCAATTTCTTTCTTTCCCGATTTCCGATTGATTCATTCCGCCCCGTTGATTTAGGTGATATAGCCTGAAGCTGGATATTGCCGTGAAGCATGGAGCGGCAGCGCCAAGTGGTAGGTATTTGTTGAATTTCAATCCGCTTATATCCGCTTTTCCAGTCGTCACGCTTCGTGCTGAAGTTCCAGTACTCGCAGACACTACGCCAGTACTACGAGCAGGGCAACTTCCTCAACTTCAACAAAATTTGCCAAGGGATCAACGAGGAGAATGTGCACTCGGGCGAGAGCATCTGGTTCATCAAGCAGACGTCGTCCGAGCTGGAGGACAACAACCTTGAAGTGACTGTTGAGGTTCGGAGTTTTGAGCAAAGCTGAGGGCCTAGCGAGTCTCTAAAATGTTTGATATTTCAGGTTGTCCACAAGAAAAAATGGGACCGGTTGCTTTTTCGTTTTGCTCGTGCATTTCTGGAGGATCGACCCGACAGTCTCCCCTTACACATGTGCCCCACGATGCGGATTCCTTGTCGAAAAGTTCTCTTCAACACGCTTAGGTATTTTTTTTGGCAAATTCAGACGGTCTGTCCGAGAACGCGATGCTGGTCATCTGCCGGCTTCTTCTGGCCCCATCGTAGTCAACTTTTCAGAACGGAGCACAACAATTTGAAGCTGCACGCGATCCGCTGGGGAAATTTGTCGGCCCGCGGTTGTCTACTATGCCACTGGGAGGTTGGTGATCCGACTAGCAACCTTCTTGCTGACACTTTTACTCTATGACATTTATATTTAGGTCTCCTACTACACAATGACCCAACAAGCCGATGCTGTTGACCAGAAATGGGTGATCGCCGACTTTATCCACGACGAGGGTCTCGCGCAGTTCAGGCTACGCACCTGTGAAAAGGATAGGAAACAAGGTACCTTGGAAGTATTTTTATTAAATTATCATCGTGTCATTTCGTATTTTTCGTATTAAATTCGAAAAAATTCTTTCTTTTGCCTTTATTTTCTGTTGAAAACTGAAATTTGAAAAATTTCCTTTTTGATGGATAAGTCTAAAACGAATAAAAAAATCGTAGGCGTTGATCCTATATTTTCTCTCGTCTAGATGGAGGCCGCGTGTTCTGCAACTACACCCTCAAGCTCTTCTACAAGCATATAAAGAAGATGATTGTCGATCTGGACCCCGTGGAAACCGGGCTCTCCCCCGGGATGAGGGTCAGTTTGTTTTTTAAAATTACTTTTGTAAAGCACGAGGCATACAATTAATTTAATTTTAGCCCTGTCGCCTGCACTTCTTCACGTCGGTACCGTTGTCGATTCGGAAGACGTTCGAGTGCGGCCGTGACTCAAATCGTGTCCAAGAAGGCGAGCGATTCCTGGAAGTAAAGCGAGGAAGGACATTCTTCGAACAGCCCAGCAACAAGGCCGTCTTTGGCGAGTGCCCCGTATTTTCCATCACGTTCCAGGATATGGTTCGTTTGTTTGTATAGCATCTTTAAGCGTTTAAGTATGATAATTTTTATGTTCTTTATAATGTTGTTTATGTTTTAGATGGCTAACTAGATGTTTTTTTAATGAGAACTGTTTAATGAAACACGAATTCTTTGTCATGACGCGATCTCTTTTTAATAACTTTCAGGGTTATTTTAGCGGTCCATTAGTCCGTTTTAATCAAATATAATAAAATCTCATTATTACCTATAGTCTATCCCTTACCTACCGATTTCAGACCGACGATGACCTGTACCATCTCCTTTCCCGTCTCTACTACCGCAGCGGCGCCGAGATCGAGTTCTGCCGGCTCGAGGTGGTCAACTTTCTGCTGGCCCAGAAACCGACCGAGTCAGTTTCCGCTCCACTACGCAAGTATTTGTCGTTTTTAGTGACCACTGCGGCGCCCACTACATAAATATCCACTCGGAGGAGAACATGGACCTGCTCATACAGTTGCTGCATCTGCACAAGGGACATCCCGCTACGCCGGTATGGTTTTGGAGCTTTAGCTATAAAAGCAACAAAAAATGACTGCCCTCCAAGGCTCGATAAGATTTTTAAAAGTTTTGTGAAATCTGAAATTCGGGCAATTCCGGCCTATCCTATGCTTCCCTAGCAAAATTCTGAGAGCTTGATAGATTTTTAGCGATTTGGGTGACTTAAAGGATAGATAAAAACTTAGAAAATTTTGAGAATTGAAAATCGCTAGTTTTTAGGCCATTTTGCCCAAAAATTCAATTTTTTTGTGTGATTTTTGTGGACTTTCTATACTTAAAAGCGCGATAAAAAGCTGCGTAGATGGTGTGTATTGCTTTGTTGAGACCTTACGTAGCGATATGCGTAAGTTTTCTCCCCACCAGCAGTGTTTTTAGTCTGGCCAAAACAAAACCCATCCACATTTTTCAGGTGCGCGTCTTCATGGTGCTCTACCTCATCGAGGGTCTACTTTCGCGAGGAGCTGTTGTGAAGGTGCCGTCCTGCCGCAAAACTATATTCTAATGTCGACCCTCTTTAGGATCAATTGCTTCTGGATCGACACCAGTACAAGAATTTCCTGAACCTCATCTGCCCTCATTTCCGCAATCGAAACACGCGTATACGGTGCGAATGGGTGCTCGAGGAGATGATGGATATTATTGACCAGATGGCCGACGTCTTCTCTCTTCCGGCGCTCTTCCAGAAATTGGTCAGTTTTTGGGTTCGAACTTCGAAGTTTTCTCAAGCACTTGATGATCATCTGCATTTTTAGATCAGCAGAGTGGTGAAGCAGGAGGAGATTGACAACCGGATCAACATACAAGAGGGCTATGTGCGTTGTCGAAAGGTAGTATTTTGCTGGTTTTTCAGTAGCTGCTCATTGCAGAAAGATCAAAATTTGCAATTTTCAACTTTTCCCCATTTTCATACATGTTGATGTAAAAGTGAAAAATCTGCAGAAATATTAATGATTTTGTGGGAACATCTCAGCGTCTCATACAATAACATTTTTTGGCCTTTTAGGTTGAATTTGAACCTCTTTTCTTGTTCCTCTAAAAATCACCGCTTTTCAGATCATCATCACTCCGTCCCGCATTCTCTACGTGGCCCCGGAGGTGATGATGGGCAATCGAGTCATCAGGTAGCTTAAGATTTTCATTTCTGTTTCATATTGTTCAATCTTTTTTTTATTACCCGTTTTTCAGGACGTACGGTGTGATTGGGGACAAGGACAAAGACTCGGTAGAGAAGTACGCCATCCTCCGCGTCTCTTTCCGGTAGGGAACTGAATCCATATTTAAGAGAAGCCGGTTTTATTTACAACAGCAGCTACTTGTGCAGGGCTGGTTTTCGGGGTGTCGTAGTTTTTGAATTACCAGAACGTTGCAAAAATATCTCAAAAATTTTGAAAATGAATATTTTAGCCTTTTTTTTGCTCATTTTTTCATACATTTTCAAGGATTTTATAAGTTTTTATGAGCTTTTTAGATCTAAAAACGCTGTAAAATGCTATAAAACGAGTTATATTTTGTTGTCGGACCGTAGAGCATTCCTGGCATAAATTTGTTTTCCCTGCTGCTATCCCCCCCCCCCCCCACCCGCTAACAATCCAGTACCATTTCAGCGACGACGACGGTCAATTGATGCGTCGTGTGATGACGGGGCGGCAGGTCCTCGACCGTACCGTGCGCGGCGCAATGACGGATGGAGTCGTCGTTGGAAGTGGGCTGTTTTGTACAGATTCATGATTTCTTTAGATCAGCATTTCAACTACCTCGGCAACTCGAACTCGCAGATGCGCGAGCACGGCTGTTACTTCTACATGGGGAGCACCAGCAAATGCGAGTGCGTTTTTTGGTTGAAACGAAATTTTTTGGCATTATTAATTAGGGCCAAATTATGTTTTCCACTTAAAATTTCCGTTTTACCGGGTTTACGGGAAAATGTTTTTTTTCACTTTTCTGCATTAAATTATTCCAAAGTTTAATAAGGACCCGCCGTATTTATTAAGATGTTTTGTCGACTGGCAATTTAGAAAAATAGAAAAAGGAAGTAATGCCTTACCAAGCTCCTATGGGAATTTTCAACTTTTAAACTTAAACTTTCAGATCGATCCGTCGTAGCCTTGGCAAATTCCGAGAACTACCAACGATTGCCAAGGTGGTGGCCCGCCTCGGACTTTGCTTCACGCAAAGCAAGGTCGGTGATACGTTTAGCCTTTTACGCAGACTGCGCTTTAGGAAATTGAGGTGAATCTGACGCGTTCATTGGAGATCACCCACTACGACACTGTGTGCGATATCACCGGCGGCGCCAATCGCTTTGACGAGGAGTACACGTTCAGGTGAATTTTAAAAATTAATAAAATTGGATAATATTAATTTGAAACCACTAAAGTTGACAATAAATTATTGGCGAGGTGCTTTTTTTATTCCATTCATGGCTCGACCTTGACCCTGGAATGATGGAAACGGAAACGTTCCCCGCTGGTTAATTTCCTGATTTTCAGCGACGGCGTCGGCCGCTCGTCGAAGCAGTTCTTCGAGACGCTGGCCGCCGCCTGCTCATTCCCGAAGAAGCACGTGCCGTCATGTGTTCAGGTGTTGATTATAGAGCTTCCTTTCTATCTACTTTATAAGTTGAAACTTTTTTCATTCCAGTTCCGATTCCGTGGCGGAAAGGGCGTACTGTGCTTGGACCCGATTCTCGACGAATACATCAAATTTGGCGCCCGGCTGCGTCTTGTCGACCCGGAAACGGTAATCCTACTTTTATAGGTGTTTTTAGTAGTTTTTGAAGTACTGAAATGCCATCAAAACGCAGAAGATTTATGAAAATGCGAAATTTGGGACGTAAATCAAAATGAAATTTTATTTTTGAACTTTTTATACTTACAAACCGTTAAAACCCTATCTAGATGGCCGTGTGCCCCCCGCTAACAGCCCAGTACCGATTTTTACAGGGTTTGGTCGACAAGGTGCTGCGAATCGAGGACCCAAGAGCCGAAAATCAGCCGCCTGCCTTTCATCGCGTCGTCTTCAGGAAGAGCCAGATGAAGTGGGTCATTTTGCTTCGTTTTTTTCTCGATTTTGCTTCCATCAACACTCCGGTTCAGATTCTCGGGCCCGAAGAAGAAGGACGGAACGGCAAAAATGGAGCTGGTGAAGTACAGCGCGCCGACGTCGCTCTCCCTGAACCGGCCGTTCATCAACATCCTCGACCAGGTCTCCGAGATGCAATCTGCCCGGGCCCACGAGAGAATCTGCAACCGGATTGAGGCGCTGCTCGATCGGCATCTGCGCAATATTTCCATGGTTCTCGTCGATGAGCACATGTGTCGCAGCAAGATCAAGGTGAGCATCAGTTCTTCAACTCCTGCTTCTCCTCACTAGCTGAGGCTCAGCCTTTGTTTACTTTCCAGGAATTGCCCCACCGGCTCGACATTGACCGGTTGCCGGGCTTCCAACTGGCTACCGAGCCCTTCTTCCGCTCGTTGATCAAGGCCCTCGTCCGCTATTCGTTGCGTGCGTTTTTCTTGTTGCTCTTTCTTTAGCATTATCGTCGAGCGAAGCGGGACGTTTCTTACAAATTCAGATTTTTTTCTTATTGGGTTTTTCATTAAATTCGGTCATATTTGAAGGGACGAAAAAACTGGACAAAAGTTGAAAGTTTCAAATTAGATTTTAGACAATTTTGATAATGTAAGATTTTTCGACTAAAAATGGCCCTTTTTGACCAAATCTTTGACCTTTTGAGTTGGTTTTTTAGTTGAAATATAGCTTATTTTACTAGAACCATTATCAAATAAATATAAAAATACTTGATATTAAGTTATTAGACATTTCTAGACACAATAAATTGTTTGTTCCCCTCCCCGGATAATGCGAAAGAACCATCGTTTTTTAGACAAACAACTACACAAGGCGCAAATCCACATCCCGCACGAGCTGGGCCGGGCCATGTTCGGCGTCGTCGACGAGACGGGTCTCCTTCAATCGGGCCAAGTCTACTGCTCCTACACGGTCAACATTGGGCTGAAGACGCCGGCGGCTAGCGCGTCGAAGCGCGTTTTGTCCGGTGGGTCCTTGTCGGGAGTTTTCTTTGCCCTGATTGCATTTGTCGATATTTCCTTGTTTAGGCCCGGTGCTGATCACGAAGAATCCGTGCATCGTCTCCGGCGACGTGCGAGTATTTGAGGTTTGTGCACGCCATTTTTTCGCCTCTCGAAATTTTATGGCGCGAATTTTGCGGTTCTGGTCCCTTAGCGGGGGGGAGGGGCTACGATAGGCCCAGGGTCAACTAAATTTTTCCTACCTTTCCTTAGGCGCCTAATAATGAGAAATAGAGTATTATAATGGAATTGTGCGACTTTTTCAGATATAAAAAACATTCATAAAAAGTTATTTAAAGTTTTTTTATTTTTTATTTTGAATTGTTGGTAAAAATGTATTAAAACTGGCCAAAACGTCAGATTTTCGTTGCCTTGTTAGCTTATTCTAATTTCTTATTTATATTTTGTTTTCGTAATTTACAAATAAAATTTTGAATTGTAAAAAAGAACTCATATTCGAAAATTGTTAAAACACTATGTAAGGCGATGTTTTATTAAATTTCGTATTGTTAAAAAGACTGTTCCGCGCCCCCCCGCTAACGAACCAGTGCCAAACTTATCAATTCGTGATTTGCAGGCCGTCGACATCCCACAGCTGAGCCACCTCCGCGACGTGCTCGTCTTCCCACAACACGGCCCACGGCCCCATCCCGATGAAATGGCCGGTAATCAACGAATTTTAGCATTATGAAATCTATCATTTACAGGCTCCGACCTGGATGGTGATGAATATTCGGTGATCTGGGATCCGGAGCTGCTCTTCGAATACAACATGCCGCCGATGGACTACTCGTCCAAATCGGGCGGCGGCGCCCTAAAGCCCGAAGACATTACGAAGCAGATGATCGCCTACTACCACAATTACATGAGCCAGGACCAGGTTTGTCGCGTTATCGGGGTCGTTCGGTCGTTTTCCGGGGGCAGGCGATCATATTTTTTTTTTGGTACTGGACTATTAGCGGGGGGGGGGGTTTAGCAGTTAGTACTATATTTTTGGGGGAAATTACAGGGCTGAAAAAAACTTGAGAAAAGTCATTTTTCGACACTCCTGTTTTCGAAAATCATGATTTGAGAAAATGGAGACCGCAATTTCCGATTAATAGCGGAACCCAATTTTTCGAAATTTGATTTACAAAAAAACGAGTTCTTCGGGAGCAATTTCGAAAAATTCAGTTTTCGAAAAAGTTATGGTTAAAAGTTCCCTTTTTCGCGATCCTCGAACTGGTGATTTGTTGAATGGATTTTCGAAAATCTGTATCGAAATCTTTGCAGGTTGGCCAAGTGGCGAACGCGCATCTAATCGCCTCCGACACGTACGGGCTGGACTCGGTGGTGGCGAAGGGAGTGGCGAAGAAGCACTCGGAAGCCGTCGATTTCCCGAAGACTGGCCAGGCACCCGAGAAGCTGACGGCAGACTGGACCCTGATCCCCGTTGACGAGCCGGATCGGGTTGGAATCGAGGTTCCGCCAGAGAAGGCCCCGCGAATGCCCGATTTCATGGAGAAGGACCAGGCGCCCGTGTATCGCAGCGCGCGCATGGCCGGAAAGGTTTACAGGTGTGTTTTTGGGTTCTTTCGCATTATTGGGGGTGGGGGGGGTAAAGAAAATTTTTTCTTGGGAGAATTTTAAATATAAAGAGCTGAAGTTTTTCTAAATGTCGTTTACCATCCCTGAAGGTAAAAACGTTACGAATTTTTATTAAAAAAAACTGATTTTTCGACCAAAAATTCCCGTTTTCGATAAAAATTTCGGCTTGTTGAATAATTTTCATACGCTTTTCGATAGAGTTATCTAGTGAAAATATAGTTTTATTTTGTTAAGAGCATTAGGGAAATATTGTCCCCCGAAAGTGCGAGAGAACCGTTTTAATGTCTATAGCCCAATAAAAGTCCCCGGCTAGCTTGCCTCGGCCCTAATTCTCTCTCCCCCATGGTCCTGGTTCGTTAGGGGGGTCAAGAGTCTCGTAATCTATCCATATGAACAATTTTCGCGTGTTTTTAACGATATCTTCCATTTTCAGGCAAGTCAAAATGGTGCAAGAAGTCCTCTACCAGTCCGAACAACGCGACCAGCAGCTGTCCTTTCCGATGGACGAGTCGCTGTTCATCGACGACTGGGAAATTTTCAAAAAAGAGGCCGAGGAGGACTACGCCAACTACTGCAATACCCTCAAGGTACAATATTTGGCATTTGAAAGTCAGCTGTTTTTTTTTTCAGCGCGAAATGGAGCACTACGGTATTCTGACGGAGGCCGAGCTGCTGACGGGGGCCATTATGGAGATGAGGAACCGGCTGTCGGACAAGGAAAATGACGATATGAGCCTGTACAACACGATGCACGTCTTAGAATCCAAGGTATAGGCTTTGCTCTTAAGCTTTTGACGAGCCGCATTTGAAACCGCGCATCGTTGTTTTTCATTTTTGCGGCCTTTTATGATTTTCATAAACTTGTTGAAAATGGGGTTCTTTCGCACTATCGGGGGGGGGGGGTATTCCTAAATCTGCAAACTCTACGAATTTTAAAAATCTTGCTTTTTCGAAACAAACGTCAAAAATAGCGTTTTTTCGCCCAACATAACGGATTTGCGACCAAAATTTCGACTTTTCCAAGACCCTTTAGATGGTTTTTCTTGTTGAAATATAGTTATTACTGACTTGCTATTTAGTTACTAGACATTTTTAGATCTATACAAAAAAGTTTCACCCCCCCCCCCTCCGATAATGCGAAAGAACCGAATATCGTATTTTCGAAAAGCAGTTTTTCGAATATCAAATTACGAAAAAATTGCGTCCAGCTAGGAAAACAACGCATGACGTGAGAAATGAAAATGGCATTTTCGAAAATATACCTTGGAAAAATGCTTTTCGAAAAGTAACCACCTGCCCTTCTTACAGATGACGGCCGCCTGGACGAGCTATCGGAAGGGCTTCTTCGAGAACGAGAACAAGTACGCACGCCACCCGGCTTTTGGCGAATACCGCGAGAAATGCCATCTGTACGAGAACAAGCCGTACGCCAGCGAGGACAACGATCTCCACTATTTCTGCTCCACCTCGGATATCACGCTGCCGATGAAGCAGAAGGCCGTTGCGTATTATCGCGTCGCTTATGGCACGTTTTTTATGCATTGAAAAATTTGTTAAAAGTCCTTATTCCTTTAAAAATTACAATCTATCTATTTTTCGATATAAAGCTCAATTTTTTAAATTTTTGAAAGTTTTTGTACTTACTTTGAATATACTTAAGTTTTGCTATCATGATTTAAAAATGGCGATTTTCCTATATTTTTTTATTTCAGAAAAAGCGCAACACGTGCTCCCCGAGCAAGGCCGCGTCCTCTCGTTCCCGTGGCTGGTGTGGGACATTCTGCGCGAGGTCAAGCAGGACTACATTTTGAACCCGGCGAACGAGGGCGTCATCGGCCGGCTCAACCAGTACACCATGTACAATGTGGGTGCTGCTCGTTTTTGCGAAAATCGTTTACCCCAATTTCCCCTTTTCGAAAATCGGTTCTTTCGCATTATCGAGGGGGAATTGTTGTTGTATAAGTTTAGAAATGCCAAGTAACTTGATAGGAAGTGCTTTAACGATGTTTTTAATAAAATAAAATATGAATTCACCTACAAAAACTATCTAGAAACTTTCAAAGTAGAAATTTAGGTGTAAAACGACCGGAAAAATCACCATTTTCTGTTGTTTTTTCATTAAAACTTGTAAACTATTAGGAATAAAAACAGTTTTTCGACCAGAAATAATTCCAATATTTATATTTAAACATTTGTATCCTAAGAAAATAAATTTTCTCCAACTTTCGAAGAAATACGGTCTTCGAAATTCTGTATTCCGATTTTTCAGCAACTGACGGCCCACATGTCCCAGTACTGCGCCGAGCACCAGGATCAGCTGCTGATGTTCAGCTACCGCGTGCAGCAGTGTCGAGCCGTCGCCCTCTACACGCACAAATATGACGGGACGGGCCGGTGGAGGACCCGCGATCATCACCAGATGCCCGAAGAGGAGGAGGATAGCCCTGGTAATTTTTTGCCCTCGTTTTGGATACGGTTTTAGGGCTACTCCAAGTGCTGTTTATCGCCAGCCGATGGGCCGACGTCGTCAAGGTGTACGAGGAGGGGAATATTCGGGTCAGTTCGTGCTGCGATTTTTTTTATTTAGCAGACCTCTAGAAATAATATTTCCTCCTAAAAAATATATTTTAATAGTGTTTCGAGTGAAAAACAACTGTAGCGAAAATCGAGCATTTTTTATGTTTTTTACGTTTTTTCATCGAATTTTGTTGAATTTTCACGTTTAGGCATCGTAAAATCCGTTTAGCAACACGTCCACTACCTATATTTATAAAATTGGATCTTAAGAAAAAAATTGGTCCCCCCGATAATGCAAAAGGACCGTCATTTGCAGGAGATGCACTTGATGCTGTTGATGCTGCAATACGCGACGAGCCACCTGCCCGGCACATCACACGATTCCACCGTACACCTGGAAGTGGTATTGATTCGGAACCAGGATTGAGACTATGGTTTGCCCTAGATTCCGGTGGACCAGGACTTTGCTGGGGATGACGAACGGTTGGCGCGGATTGGGCTTCGGTCTCCGGGTCGACTGTTTGCCCTCTTCTTGCAATATATCGGCTCGTGTACATTCCGCCGTCTCCCCCATCTATTCTTCGACGATATGGGCTATGATATGGCGTTTTTCGACGAGGAATGGCATCTTCTACACCAGGTATCCCGGTTTTTCGATTTGCTATCGGAATTTTGAACTGCTTCATTGCGAGTTTTCAATATATCGAAATTTGCCATGCGCAGATTTCCGAGAAGCACAACCTGAAAAAATTCCCCATATTGAAATTTCGGTTCTCGACTGTTAGCGGGGGGTTGGCAGGGGAGACCCAATTTTTGTGTTTCCACCTATATTACCGGTTGATAATATATAATGTATTTTTGTAATGCTTTTAACAATTTTGATAGCTAGCAAATTCGAAAATTTTTACCTTTTTTGGTCATTTTCATGCGTGTTGATCAGGGGCGTAGCCAGAAAAAAATTTCGGGGGGGCCCCCAAAAAAATTTTCCAAAAAACTCAAAACATTGCCGAAAAAACAGCGCCGCAGGCAAAAATTTTTGAAAAAAAAGGTTGCATAGCTCTACAAATAACCGTAAAAACGTGAAAAAATAGCGCCGCAGGCAGCAAAATTTTTGAGAAAATTAAAATCATAAGGGTCCCCCCTTATGAAATTTTCAGACCCCAGCCGATTTCGGGGGGGGGGCCCGGGCCCCCGGGGCCTGTATTACGCTACGTCCCTGGTGTTGATCAAAAGCGAAAAATTTTCCAAAATGTTTATAATTTTGTTAGAAACCATTTATATCTAAAGTATAACCCGCAATAAGAATGGTTGTGAAATTGTGTTACGGGGCTGTATGGAATTACCAGGAAAATTTGTTCCCACCCCCGCTAACGGTCCGAAACCCGAATTTCGAAATTTTAAAAAAGCCAGGTGCTAACGTTAATTAATCTTTTAGTGCGCCCGGATCTCGTTCTATTCGATGGTGTTTTCGTCCCGTTTTGAAGAACTTCCCCTGCGTGCCGATGAGCATGATAAGCCGTTGCCGGAGCTCGTCCAAGAGGGCACCTCGTTCACCATCGAATTGCCAAGTATGTCTATTTGCGTCTGAACGTTTAGTTCTGGATTTTCTTGTTCATTGTTTTTATTTGCAGTGACAGTACGCGAACTGGACCTTGAAGATGATCTACGCAAAAAGTGTGGTCTGCAAGAGGTGAAGATGCGAAGGAAGCACTCATACAGTACGCACGTTTCTGGATTTTCCATTAGGTTTTTTTTAGAAAACGGAGAAGCGGCGACTCGTGTCCGAGTGTCGGCTATGGGCACCACGAAAGCGTTGCGGAAATTGCGTCGACTCGTTCAGGCGCGACCCATTCACAATGTACGTTTTTCTTTCTTTTTGAAATCGTCGTTGTTGATTTTCAACGTTTTTTTATATTATTATTTTTAGGCCGAAAAAATGGGCAAATCGATCGAGAGCGCCTATCCACAACGGACCCTTCAGAATATCCGAAGTGAGCGCCAGCTCGACGACTACGACATGGAGTGATGGATGGGCCAAGCGAGCAACAGAACAAAATACAAACTGTCAACAACGATAATATTAATAAGAATAATAATTAAATCCCATTTCTCCGCGCTCTTCGTGGTGCTGCGACACGATTTCTCCCCAGGTGCCCCATTGCTTTTGGTGTGAGCGGGCTTTGTCTTGTGAATTTGGCCGCTCATTGTTTTGCATGATCTGTTTGAATTTCTCCGACTCATTGACCGTTGTGTCTTACTTTGCTTTCACGTTTTCTCCGGGTATTGTTGTTCTGGTCATTTTATCTCAGTTCTAACTTCTCAAATGTACGCGCGAAAAGTTCAATAAATTGTTTTTATCATCACTGTTTCACATTCGGCTTTGGCGGCGGTAATTTCAAAACGTCGATGCTTCATATTGCGGAGATCAGGCGTAGAAATGAGGCGCGGTTGTGAAAACAGTCAAACACAATTCAAACCCGTATTTATTCCTTAAATCCCAAAACACGCATTCCAGAAATTCATTCACAGTCGAGGGAAAGCATAAACCAAGAATAGAGAACGGGTGGTCGAGGCTTTATTAGACGACAGAGACCTTCACTCGGAAGCCGGTTCAAGTCGACGCTCAGTGATCCTACAAAGAGAAATTGGACGGAGGTTTCCCCGGAAAACTAACATCGCGCAAAAACCCACCGATAACTGCTTCTCCAGCTGGGCGGCGGTCTCTTCGACCCTCGACGAGTGTGCATCCCAGAGCTGCTCAAACTTGGCCAGAGCGTTTAACTAAAAAGCAATGTAAAAAGCCAACAAAAGGGATACCAGAACGGAGAAGTATTCGGGCTCTTCGTAAAAGGGGCCGACCGATGCAGATGATGGGCTCGAAGCGGCCGATTTCAGCAACGGCAACATCACCGGGTCGGGATTGTCAGACTTCACAGCCCCCGGATCCGACCACAACACGGGGACGACAGTGTTCAGCGGGGTGGAATCCGACGAGATCGTCGAGTCGGCAGACAACGGCGGCGGCGAGATGGCCGCAGGTCCGCTGGCAGGTGCCTAGGCAAGCGTATTTTCAAATGTGAAAACACACCATTTGCAAGTTGTCGCATTTCGATGGGAGTCCGGGAGGGCCCTGCGGAACGGAAACCACCGGAGGAATGTCGCGCATCGAACATTTCTGCAGCTCGATCAGGTGCCCGGCAAGTGTCTGATTACGGGCGCGCAGCTCCTAAACAGCCGATGGTTATTATACAGGGTGGCTGAAAAGTTCCCGCAATTTCTTCTAGCAGGTCAATAGCCGGAAAATTGCTAAAATTTGGCTGAGGTAAGGCAACAGAAACTTTATTTACGACGTAATCAACAGATTATAACACAAAAATCCGCAAGAGATGTTCATGAATTCCACCAGCAGCAGAATAGGAGCGCGCAGGTAGCCGTGGAAATTGCCGGCCATGGTCGCGCCCTCCCGGTGAGCAAGGAGGCGTCAATGTTTTCACTATAGAATCATGCCGGAACGGGCAAAATCATCATAAACTCTTCAAAAACAGTTAATAGAGGGGTCTTGGTCTATCATTCCCGTTTTCCGAGAACTTTGATGATTTGAGTAGGAATCTAGAGCCCCAGCAACCCTTAAAGGGCTGCCGACGGCATGTGTCGATCCCCCCTCATCAACAAATTGGCAAGTAGCCAACAGGGGAGAGAGCGCGCCCAGGGGAGAGGCCCAGAGACATTTTCTTTTCCGCGCGTAATCGATTGTCTATGCCGTCGGCATCCCTTTAAATCGTTTTCGTTCAAAAAAATGTAAAAATCGAAGTCACCGAGCATTAATATCAAGCCCTTAGGATCGTTTCAGAGCCATGAATTAAGCAATCTTTTAGTCAAAACGTTTTCACGCTTAAGCAAGACTGGACACCAGGTTTTCCGGCCCGTTTAACTATCACCCTCTGGGGAAAGTTGCAATCGGGTTTTTGCGGCTTTGATATTTGGGCCTCCAACTCAGTGGATTCAATTTTTTCGATCGTTCGGTTTGGATAATTTTGTAGTAAAAGATCTCAGGAAAACGGTCCACTACAGTGAATCTCCTTAAAATAGCCCTGGAAAGTGCTAGGCCTCGGTTAGTGTGGCAGAGGGCGCGACCATGGGAGACAGCTTTTCAAGGTGTATGCGCATTTGTATCGAACCGTCTGGGGGAAGCTGTGAAGATTTATTGTGGATTTTTGTTTCGCAATTTGTTCTTTACGTCTTAATTAAACTATTAGTTACCATAAGTTCTCTACCTCATTATAATTTTAGGAATTTCCGGTCCATTTAACAGTATCAAGAAATTGCGGGAACTTTTCAGCCACCCTGTAGGATTAAAAAAATACAGTGTTCCGGTTAAGCCACCATGCGAATTGCTAAATCACCTCGTTTTTGGCGAGAAGGTGTTCCTTTTCATGGCGAAGACGTGCAAGCTCATCGTTGGACAGCGAGGGGGTAGAGCCAGCGAGATCGGCGTTGATCTTCTTCAGCTCGGCGATTTCTCCGGCAGCAGATGCGAACTGCATCTCAGCATCCGCCACACTGTAAAAGACGACATAAGTCTTGTGTTCCGGAAAGTCGTACTTTTTAGCCCACAACTCCTTCGAGCGCTCGATCTCCACCTTGAGGTTGTCGATGGTGCCCTTCAGGACATCGTTCTCCAAACGAACAATTCCGCTAAACAAGCAAAGTTTCGAATCAACGCCAAGCCCTTATACCTATTCTCATTGGCGTATTCCAGCGCGACAATCTTCTTCCTCAATTCCAGCACCTCGGCGCTGTCTTCCGGCAGATTCTGTGGCTGCTCCTGCTCCCAGTGGGCCCTTCTAAAAAAGAAATCGAGGAGCCTGAAAGATACTCACTCTTCAGAGATTTGCTGCTGGAGGCGCATGATGATGTCCTGGAGGTCGATCCTCTCAATCATCCAGGCAGATTCTTTCTGAAGCCAGAGATATTGCCGACAAGAAGCAGTACCTCAGCCATTTCCTTCTCAATCTCTGACATAGCGTGGCTATCGTTCGCAATGCTTTCGGAGGCTCCTCCAGTCTACAAATGCTCGTTTTTTAACAAAAATAACAAAATCGATACCCCATAGTCCAAGTTGAAAATGGGGAATCCGGCACGGAGAGGCTCCTGGTTGGCGACGGCGTCACGGGCAAGCAATTGAATCTCCTCGAACTCGATGGTCAGCTTCGAGAGCTTTTCGTTCTTCTCGGCCAAATCGGCGCGAACCTAGGCGACGAAAAAATGGCGTCACGAAACAAGAACGAACCTGCACCAAGTCCTTTTGCGCCTTCTCACCAACCACAACAGCCGCCCTAAGGTTTTTCATCTCGACGATGGCCGCTCCCAGTTGGTGTTGGTTTCCCTCGAGGTCATGTTGCAGCTTTTGGATTTGGCGCTTCTGGTTGGCATCGTTCTATCGAAGAAAAACAAACGCATGTCAGATGTATGACGAGAAAACCTGTTTGAAAGCCGTCAGCTCAGAGGTGCACTCGCCATATTTCGTCTGAATTTCCACGTACGCGGCATCCTTGAGCTGAACAAAAATTGGCCATATTGGCACGCAAGGGTACCTTATAATCAGCCAGCAAACGCCTGGATGTGATGGCCTCTTCCTCGAGCGAAGCAATCTTCTTGACGAGTTCGCTGGTGACGACTTTCTGTTCTGCACAGTCCTTCTGGGCGGCCTTCCGTTCCTTGGTCTGCTGATCGGCCTTCGCCGTCGCATCGGCAACCTTTTGCTCGAGAGCGCCGATCGAAATAGCAGACTTGGCCGCCTAAAATACAGCAATGACAAGAGATAATGAAGACAACATACATTGTCATTGATGTCGTTGAAATAGCGCGTGAGAAATTCGACATAGACAGGCTCGAGATCGTCAAGCTGAGAGAGACGCGAGAGAAGTGTATGTTCATTCATCTCGGCCATCGTCGGAATCTTCTTCTTAGGGGCCTTCGGCTTCACATCTTCGACAGGCTTCGTCGGAGCCGGAGTGACCGAAGCGTCAGGAGCATTTGTCGGTTCCTCCGTTGGCTTTATCGACACGGCAGCCGTCTGTTCAGCAACAGGGGCAGCAGCTGCTCCCTTTTCTTTCTTGCTGGCTTTCTTCTTGCTTCTGGTTTCGGCTATAAGCAGCGTGTTCTGGACTGTTAGCGGGGCCGAAACAACTTTGGACTAGCGCTTTCCATCTAGATTTTTGCGCCGTTTCGAGTATCCGGGACTTCATAAAACAATTGACATCCGAAATTTTTTGATCTTGGGTAAAAATGCGTGGAATCCTTGAACTGTTAATTTTTGCCAATTATTGCAATCAAAAATACTCAAAACACTGTAAAAAAAGCTAAAATTTGTTAACAAAAACTAAAAATGGTCCTGCCAACAGTCCAGAACCAGAATAGGTCTATAAAACCACAAAAAAATTTCCTCACGTTCCGGTTGTGGGACCTTGACCGCAACTTCTTCCACCTTTGTCGGTTCTTTGACCGCGGGAGGGACCACGGGCTCGCTGACCACAGCCGGCATCTCGTTGGGCTTCTCGGGCTTCTTCACGGGCTGCAACTGCGTAAATGAAGCCATAAGAAGCCATACCATTTCGACAAGTTCCGGAACCGCAACATCCACCACTTCAACGAGGCGGGCGGCCGCACGCACCTCGGGCGTGCGCTTTTCATTCTTCTTGTTCTCCTTCTTACTCTTGAACGATTTGCCCTTGCCGGCGCCCTTCTTTTCGACCAGGATCCGCGACGAAGCCTTGGCCAACTAAACATTTTCTATTAGACCAAGGCATAAGAAAATTACCTTTTCATATTTGCCATCATCACTGCCCTGCCTAGCAAAGTAGCAAAAGAAGAGGGCCGCCAGAAAGACGAGGGCGAGCACGCCAAGGTTCACCGGATCCAGTATCATGTTCAAATCCTGGAACATGCGAATAAATCAATTCTGGAAAACATACCAAACGGGCGGCCTGGAGCTGACTGAAGTGTACGGTGATGAAAATACAGTGCAGCGTCTGGAAATGAAATATGTACGTGGTCGGCAGACCGGAAACGCCAGATGGAAATCGCCGAAAACAGAGCAAGTTCTAGATGTTAATGATAGAAAGTAGCCGTCATGCTAATCAGAATCACCAGTGTGTAAAATGTAAAAATTTTAGTCATGAGCGGATTTGGAGCTATTCACGTTGGGGGAGCGGCTGTTTTTTTAGCTCTTTCCGGTTTAAGCTGGTCTCGAAGCCAAGCCTAAACCTAAGATCGGTCTAATCAGCCAAGCCCAAAAAGCCTACAAAAAGGATGCCGTCGGATTTTGCTTGTTTTTGTCGTAACTAGTTTATCTTAACTTATTTCGGCCTGAAACTAAAACTACCAGGATATTTTTCGATGCTCTATCAAAGGGTAATAGCCGGTTCGAAAAACGGCCAAAAATATCTAAACTTGGCTTTTTTGTTTTAACAGGCTTTTTTTGTTCCTGCAATGGGGGTGGTAAACTAAACCGTGGCACAGCGTATCTGGTACCGTAACTGACAAACTTTGGGGGCGGGGCACCATTTGCGCAACGACTTTTGAGAATCTCAGCCACAAAAAATAAAATGCTTCTAAAATAGCTGTTTTCATTACTTTTTCTTAGTTTAAAAATGCTTTGAGCTAACTAACGGCTTCTAGACCGTAACTTCCACCCCGGATTGGCCCTCTTTCGTACTTTCAGTATCTTTTGACCGCCGTTTGTGTGTATTCGCACTAAAAGATGGTTTCATGCTGTTTTCACGTTTTCCGTACGATTTCTTTCAATGTGCATCCATGCTTTTGATGAAATAACAACTACTATTAGGCCCCTAGTAGTGGTAAATTAGCTTTGGACAAAGAAAACTATCAAAACGTGTAGATGATGGGAAGTGGAGTGTGAAGTGTCGAATCGGCTTTCTATTTCTAGTAAATCCATTTATTATTATTCCATTTATCCATTACATTTATTGCTCATTTTGGTGCTGCTTTCATAATTTTATATCTTATCATGTCTGACTGCGCAGGATTCGCGCTCATTTTGATTCTATTGAAATCAGGATTTGGCTTCCTATTTATTCCTTCGAATTTCTCCTTTTTTCCGTCAACTAGTAGCCAGCAAAACCTGCTTTCAGTACTGGGCTCGCATCGAAGACAAGTATCTGGAACCCGCTGGCGGCACATTGAACATGGATTCTGGACTCAGCCTGGACCTGACGTCAAACTCGCAGAAGGGCCGAAGAAGGTGAGATTATTTGGAAATATTTGGTTTTGTTGAATTGAAGGCAGTAAAATGTTTGGAAGCGATCGCTTGTAACTCATTTTTTGCAGACAGACATGCAGCGACAAGTTCAACGATCTCATGCTCAACATAAGATGCACATTCGAACGGCTGAATGATCTGTGGGACGAAGTGGATATGCCCGACGACATGCGCATGGCGCGCTCGTCCACAGCCTTCAACCACACCAACGAACTATTTGAGGAGATTGTGAGTGTCTCGTTGGATTGTGAAAAATAGCTCCTTTCTGCCCTTCCCCGAACGTTACAAAAATGAAACGATCAGAGCTAGAATACAATCCCTCTGTTTAGATCGAATCCGAACAAGCAATGGTTGTCGGCGTGAAACAAGGGATCGACGATGGGCAGGCAGAGATAGAAAAACTGCGCGCAAAGCTGGAAATGGATGACTGGACGCCGCCCTCACACACAGATCGCCGTGGCATACCAATGGTATCTGGAATTTGCCAGTTTATTTTATTTGTTTTTAGCTCCAAGCCATCCGAGCGGAAGTGCAAACGCTCAAAGAAGCTGTCGAGGAGCGCGTTCTGGAGCAAGAAGCCACCGTTGAGGTGAGTCTTTTCTCATCTACGTTTGTCTTTTCAACTTTACTCTTTTAAGCCAAATTCTGTTCAGCGTGTCAAGCTTCTCTGCAGTCGGCTGGGCGAGGAATCGGAATTACTCGATTCTGCCGAGGACGTGCTGTCAAAGGCCGACTTCGACTCCTTGAAGGAAAAATCCGCGGAAATGGAGCACCTCGTCGAAGAACGGCTGTCGCTTCTTCGCCAAGCACAACGTGATGCCCGGGATGCGGTCAAGAAACTGGGTAATAGATTTTTCGATAGATAGTAATAAACTTTAGGCCGCAAAAAACGCGACTGCCCAGCGACGATTCAAGATTTACTCGCACTCGACCTCGACAACGGCGATCTCGTGCTGGGCAGAATGTTGGTGGACCGGACGACGGAGGCCGCGGAGCAGGTAAAAATTATTAGTTAACCGGTTGCGGATGTTGCTCTGAAAAATTTGCTTCAAAAAATTTGTTTAGTTGGTGGTGGAGTCGAAGGAGCACATTGGGACCCTGGAATTCCTCTACGCCGAAAAGCGAATCGCGCTACGTGATCTCTGGGAGAAGTGCCATGTACCGATATCGGACTGGACTATGCCCGAAGAATTCTCACCTGGTAACGCTGATTTCTGTTTCAAACAAAGGCTCATTTTTAGATCATCACGATGCCTCCACGCTCGCAATCATGGATGAAAGAATAGCCCATCTCACGGAACTCTACGACCGCCAAAAAACGGTTAGTCGACTAGTTACGGTGGTAATTCTTGTTTTTTTGTAGGTGCTCGACAAGTTGACGGCCTGGACAGAGCTTTGGGATGAGAAGTTAGCGCACGAAGAATGGGAAAAGGATCCGGCTCGGTTCAATAACCGCGGAGGTCAACTCGAGAAGCGGCTAAAGAGAGCGAAAGCCGTTGAGAAGCAGTTGCTGCCCCATGCGCAGCGGGAAGTCGCCCTCGCCTACGCCATCTACCGAGACGAGAACCCAGAGGACGAATTGAAGGTTCGTAAAAACGGTACTAGAGTCTTAAAATGGGGGGATGCTCCTAATAATGTTGGCGCGTTACAGTGTTTTGGTTCAGAAAAAGGGCACAAAAACGATCTCTGATATTTACGAACTTTACTCCAATTCTGATCAAAGGGTGCTTTTAGTTTGACGACCTCGACCCGGTGGAATGGCTGAAGCGCAAAGTCCGAATTCGCGCTGAAAACAAGGAATTCGAGGCCCAGATGAAAGGAACACCATCAAGGGCCGGAATGACGCCAGCGATGTCCCTCCGCAATTTGCACATGCCCATCGACATCAGCTGCATCGGACCTTGCCGGGTTGTCTCGGTAATTCATTTTCGAGTCCTTTCGCATTATCGGGGGGGGGGAAGGACTTTTTTTTTGTTTTAATCTAGAAATTTCTAGTTTTTTTGCCCAAAAATACTCAATTTTCGATCAAAATTTCAAACATTAAAAACCGCTTTTTTTTATCTCTCGAAACGCATTTTTTTTCAGCCAGGCCCGAAGACTTCATCGCCAAAAGCCGCCTACAAACGGCCAGCTCCATCCGACTGTTCATCTCCGTGCCCATCCCCCGCGAAACGTGCCACCCCGCTCCGTCAGCGCAATTGGAAGCCATGATTCAAAGTTGATCAAAGTTAAAGTTTACTCATTCATTGGCTATATCTTTTTTTGCTGACCCCGTGCCGTGCTACATTTGTCCCCTAAATGACTCCTTACACTTGTGTCTTGTCTCTTTCGTTTTTTATATTTTGTGCTGATCCCTTTGTATCGCATCGATGACTGAACTGTAACTGCTTTCTCATCTTATGATCCCATCTGCAACCGTACTCATCATGTGCTTTCGAAACCGCAAATAAAGTAGCTTCTTTCCAAAGACAAGTTGTAGCAGGTTCGGCTGGATTGAGTTTAACTGCGAAGTCAGGGCTATCGCGTGTCGATCGCCTTCTATGGATCAACGCGCTTTGCCAATTACAATCATTCTCAGTTTTAAAACTACCGGATCTGCTACGACATTTGCATAGGAGGCTTCCGCTTTAAAATGCTTCTATTGGCCGTTTTCCGGCCATTTCTCAGTTCTCTATGTCCGAAAAGGTATATTTCTCATCACTCTCCGTCACCGAATGTTTTTCAGAAAAAGAAACGCGAGCTCGTGGAGCAGACGTGTGCCGATGAAGGGGACGATGATCAGCCTTTCATGCCCAGTAGGGATTTTCCGAGTTTTTGAAGACGTTTGTTCAGTCCCGATTCCGAAGTCCGTCGAGCCGCCACGTGACAAGGATACCGACAAGGAGAAGGAGAGGGAAAAGGAGAGAGAGAAAGACAAGGAGAAGGAGAGAGAAAAGGACCGGGAACGGGAGAAGGAGCGCGAGAAGGAACGGGAGAAGGAGAAAAAGGATCTGAAGCAGCAGCTGGAGACGACCGAGAAGACGAACGAGGCCAATTCGCCGAAAGCGCCCACGCCGCCAGCACCGTCCACCTACATTCCTGCAGGTCGGCTTTTGGAAGGCGCTATTCTGGACTGTTAGCGTGGGGGTCTCCGGGGGAGGGGGGGGGGGGAGGGGAGTTGCTAGACGCTTACCCATTTATCGTATTTTTGGATATAAAAGCACAAAAAATAATAAAATTTACGACTTTTTGGTCAAGATTGCATGAAAAGGTAAAAATTTTCGAATTTTCGAAATTTTTTGCGGTATTTTTACAAGGTTCTAGCATGGAAAAACTGGTGAAAACTATAAACATGCATTTTATATCATCAATGACTGGTTTTTCAAGCGATAACTGGCGATTGAAAAACAAAAATGGGTTTTCTCTGTCCCCCCCCCCGTTAACAGTCCACTACCAATCTAGAATATTGCAGTTGGAAGCCCACGCGAAGTGGTGACCGGAGCACAGCTGATCGGCACCGGGCCGCCCCCAGTCTCGCCGCCCGAGCGAGAGCTGCCCACCCCCAATCCGCCGGCCCCACCGCAACCCGCTCAGCCCCCGCCCGTATTTCTGACGCGCGAGCCGCGACGCGAAGAATTTCCCGTCGTGCCCCACGAACGGAAGAAGAGCACCAAACGACGGGAGCGTGCCACAAACCGCAGCGGCGACCAGACCAACACCACCACCACCAACACGTGCGATGCCGATTTTGGCGACAAGCAGCAATCCCCGATCCCCTTCAAGCCAATCGCCGGTGTATCCACCGCTCAATCGTTCGTCTCCTTACCCACCGATTTTTACTTTTATTTGTAGGAATTCTGCGAAGAACGCCCCGCCTGCAACTTTTCCGATAGCGTTTCCGGTGCAGCCGAAGGTCGCCACGCGTACCCGCCACACCGGACCGTCCTACAACCAGGTTTTGAACAATTGCGGCCCTAATTTTGGGGCTTCCGTGTTAGGGGGGAAAACGCAATCCCGACATTCAAAATTCCGACAGCCATCAACCCGACAGGCAGAAACCCCCAATTTTTAAAGCCAGTTATGGATCACACGACCGGAAATAAGACATTTTGGCTTCAAGAGCTTGAATGTCGGGATTATGGCTGTAGGGATCTCGGCTGTCGCGATTATGGCTGGAATTCGTGTTAGTTCCGTCGCAACTCTTCCGAGGGCCAGATAGGGGAAACTAAATTCCTTTTAAACCATTGGGTTGGGCTCGTATTAAAATATAAAGTGCTTTTACACGGTTTTAAAAGGTTTTAGCTCCATTAGAAGCTGCGAGCCTTTTGAAGAAATCAGGGATTGCGCTGAGAAAAAGTGCAATGCTGTAATGATCTGAAATTTAGAATAAGGATAAAACACTTACTTTTTTAAAGTTTACTAAACTTCACTAGACTTAAAATTGCGTTGTTTGCAGGTTCGTGCTTCCGTCCCTCGGGTGGTCAGCTCGCAAGTTCCCAACAAGAAGCAGAACAACTCTGGAAAGATCAAGGTAAGGAATTAATTTTGCAAACTGACGAAAGCGTTGCTTTTTGCAGAAGGTGCGAGACGGCGCGGCGACCCCACCTCGGATCCCCAACAACCAACAGGCGGCCCTTGCCAGCAAGGTACAAGAAGAATTGGCCATCCAGAATTCGATCCAAGTGCAAGATGACGAATAGTAGGGCAGTATCGCGTGCGCCTAACCGAATTTAGCTGGACGCTCGTCGATCAAACTGTCATCAACCGGGACTACTTTCACGGCTACTTTACCATGCACTACATCACCAAGATGCTCAAGTACCCCGGCGACTACATTCTCGGCATCCTCCCCTACAACAATGAGAAAAAAGGGGTCCGAGCCCTCGGAGTTGTCTTACTTGGTTTTGCATTCTTTCAGTGGCACTTGGCCAGCGGAATTGGGTTGTGTGTGGCGCCTCGCGACATCCGCTTCATTCCGATCAAGGGCGGAAAGGTACTCGAATAAAATCGTTAAATTGTTGCTGGTTCGTTAGCGGGGAAAACCAGACTTTTTTCTAGAAATCGTGCTCATTTTAACAGCTTATAAAAATTGTATAAAACTTATTGAAATTTTCGAAAAATTGACTTTTTCAAAGTTTTCCGAATAGAATCGAATTTGAAAAGGACTAATTTGATCACCGTTTCAAACCTTTGTATAACTTTTTGCTTTAACTTTTTAGTAAATGCTAAAATTAAGCTTAATCTCAGTAAAATCAAAATTTCCGAAATAATGCCTGTTAAAAAACTGCTCAAAATAATCAACGCTCAAACATTTCTATGGCTTTAGTAATAATCAGAAATACTAAATCTATAGAAATCGTCTCTGTTTTATTACTATGAACGTTGAGCTGAATAAAGGAAGCCAGCCCCCCCGCTAATGAACCAGGATTCCTTATTTGCAGCGCAAGCAGTACCGCTTCCGCGGGGGCAAGATCACGAAGCCGACGATCCAGGAACTGGTCGCCGAATATGCTTGTGGCGAGGGCCTCTCGCAGCCGTTTGAGAATGGCGTCGACAAACTCGTCTACCTGAACCGCTCCGTGCCGCGTGTGGTTGGCTATAATTTATGAATTGGCAAGCATCTAACTTTAGCCTTACATCTTGCCGCACAAACGAGTCCAGCTGCACGACCGGATTGGAGGCGGCAATTTCGGTGTCGTCTATGATGGCACGTTACACGACCGGAACAAGAAGTTCGAAGTGGCGGTCAAGATCTTCAAGGTGCCGATTTAGCGGGGCTTTGCGTTTAGCGGCAGCGGTAGTTTAGCAATACCCTCTTTATTCCTGGCGGTCCAGGTTGACCGAATCAGCCAATATAGTGTTTTTCCAACTGTTTTTAGTAGCAGAAAATTAAAAAGTTGAAAAATTAAGAAAAAGACAAGTTTTGAAGCAGAAAAACTTTTAAAAACCTTAGAAAGCTGCTTTAAAAACTCGAGAATTTGACCTTTTTGGGCCAAAAAACGCAACATTTTCTAAGTAAAATTCATTTTTGAATTAAAATTTGTAAAGTTGAAGGCTCAGAAATAGTTAGAAACAACGATAAACAAATGCATCATCTGTTTATCAAAAAAATAAAGGCTTCTGCCGAAAAAAAATTTATTTCCCCCGCTGCGATAATTGATTGAGGTCTTTTTGTTTTCAGCCGTCCACATTGGCGTCAAACCCGGGCGCGAATCGCACCAAGGACATCCTACATCAGAAGAAATTCCTCGAGGAGGCCTACGTGATGTGGCAGCTCAAGCATCCCAACATTGGTCAGCTGCTATCCGCCTTTCCGAAATACACCTCGTTTCAAGTTCACTTCTACGGCATTTGCTCGTTGAAACCGGCGCTGATGATCATCATGGAGTACTGTCGGGGAGGATGTGCACGGAACGTTGGTTTTCAAACGTTAATACGTACTTAGACGCTTGTTTTAGTACCTGCAAAAACATGGCGAGGGTGTGTCGATGGCGGTGAAGAATCGGCTGGCGATCGAGGCTTGCGAAGGGCTCAAATACCTGACCAATCGCGACTTTGTGCACCGTGATGTGGCGGCCAGGAACTGTCTACTCGACGAGAATCTTAGTGTTTGTCTTTTCGGCTAAAGCGGTTTGAAGTTCTTACGCATTATCGGGAGGGGGGGGGTTTGTACTAAGTTATAAAACCCTCGTAGTTTCGGAAGTATTTTCGTATAATTTGTAGTACAAAGAACTTATCTCTTAACTAGAAAAACCATCTAAAAACTTTCAAATGTTTTCAAAAAGTCCGAATTTTGGTCAAAAACATTGATTTTTTTTCTGTATTTCTAACAAACATATTTGAAGTTTTTACGTCTAGAATAGTATACAACGGTTTAGAAACACGTCTGCCATTTCTATTTGAAAAACTCACTATAACCAGGGTTGAAAAGCCGCTTCGCGACTTTTCAACCCAGGCCCCGTCCAACCCTATCAGATTCTTCACTCTGCATACGTCTTTCGATTTTCGATGAGAAAAATGAAAAAATGCCACTCTCTCGGGTTATATATAGGCCGCCGCAACTTCCGGCGTATGCTAATTATTTCCTAACAAAGAAGGCCGCCCGATTTTTCAACAAAAACTTAAATTTAATGTCGAAACAGCTGAATTTGTAAAAACTGATATTGGTGCAGTCCTCTCCAGTCCATTACGCATCTAATGACGTATCAAACATACCTTAAAAACCTTCC